TTAAGGCTAATCCTAATCGGATTAAGACTATTACTAAATAGCCTGTTCCTACGTTAATTAAGGAACTGTAGTCGTTCCTCGGTTTTGCTAACTTCTATCGCCGATTTATTAAGGGCTATTCGAGGTATGTAATGCTACTAACTAAGCTTACTAAAACTAAGGCTAACCCGTCTAGAGAATTCAAATAGACTAATAAGATACAAGCCGCTTTTAACGGTCTAAAGAAGCGATTTACTAAAGTCCCCTTGCTATACTATTTTGTACTAAGTAAGTAGATCCGTATTAAGACTAACGCTTTACAGTTCGCTATATCGGCTATTATATTACAGCAATCAGATAAGGACTATTACTAGCACCTAATTGCCTTCTTTTTACGAAAGATAATCGATATAGAGCGTCGCTACGAGACCTACGAGCAAGAGCTCCTAGCTATTGTCGAGGCCTTTAAGCATTAGAGGCACTATCTCGATAGTATATAGTATACTATTCAGGTCTATACAGACTATAACAACCTCCGTAGCATTACTAAGGTTACTAGGGTTATAGGTCGACAGGCTAGATAGGCCGTCTACCTCGCCGGGTTTAATTTTAATATATTATATCGGCTAGGCGTAAGTAACCCTACTAATAGCCTATCGAGGCGACCTAATTACGATAGCGAGACTTAGTACATTAATTCATTATTTCTAACCCTATAGCATAAGATTGCTATAGCCCGTATTATTAATAAGTAAGCGTAGGATAAGCGGACTTCCGGACCCCGCGGCGGCAACAAATACTATAGCGGAGTTGTCGTTCTTCTAGTGTACGTTAAGAAGGACGTAGATCGCTCGAGCTATAATAACTCGATTGAAGATATTGCTATCTATAGCGATAGCACTATAGAAGAGGTTGCAGTAGTTCCGGCTGCTAGTACTATTAGATACATATAATGCGTACCTCGTTTAATAGCGAGGGTACTATTAAATAACCTTACAAATAGGGATAGTTAATCGTTTATAGATAAGCTATTGCATACTTAGCAGAGGGACGCCTTTGCTATCGAGCGTATTTATAGGCTTGTAAGTAGACGGGCGACTCGATCTAGTAAGAGTAATAGTTAGTCGATCGACGATAAAGGTTACTTAAAGTTTAAGGGCAGATACTATGTCCCCGCTAAACAATCGATCAGATAAGAGCTTTTAAAGAGGCACTATAATAGTAAGCTCGCTAGTTACTATAGTATAGAGAGGTCGTACGAGTTACTATCGCGTATATACTACTAGCTAAATAGTAAGCGGTATATAAAGGAGTATATACAGACCTGTATAGTATACTAGCGAGTTAAAGCACTAAAGCACTTACTATTTAGCGAGTTGTCTTTACTCCCTATTCTAAAGAAGCCTTTTTTAGAGCTTATAATAGACTTTATTATAGGTCTTCCCCCTACTAAGCGAAGAGGAAGCAAAGACGTCTTTAACGCTATATTAGTCGTTATAGACCGATTTACTAAGGGTACTCGCTACATTCCTGCTCGCAAGGATTGGACTACTATTAATATAGTAGAGGCGCTATAGACTAATATCTTCTATACCTATTAGGGAACCCCTAAGGGGATCGTATCCGATCGTAGATCGACACTAATATCTTACTATTAGAGCGAGATTTGCTTGTAGCTAAGACTAAAGCATCGGCTATTAATAGCCTTCTATCTATAGACTAACGGTTAAACAGAGAGGCAGAATGCTACCCTATAGTAGTACCTACGTAGTTATATTAATAAGAACCCCGAGGACTAGGTTAACCTCCTATAACTAGCTAAATTCGTATATAATAACAGTGTCTACTTATCTACTAAGGTCTCCCCTTATTTTGCTATAATAGGCTAGAACGCTGCCTTACTATAAGACCTATTTACCTCGCTCGAGGCCGAGCGTAAGGAAAGGGAAGCGCGTTAAGTACCCGAAATACTAGCGGCTATTAAGAGGGTTTAGAAGATGCGAGAAATCTATACTAAGATAGCCGAGAAGTTGACAAAGGCCTAAGAGTACTAAAAGACCTACTACGACAAGTACTATACGCCGATAACCTTCAAATAAGGCGATATAGTTATGCTAAGTACTAAGAACCTCCGCATCCGCAAGCACCTATTACCTAACGGCAAAACCAGGCCTAAGCTCGCACTAAGATACATTAGCCTATTCCGTATTCGAGAAGTTAAGGGCTTCTCCGTATAGGCCTATTAGTTATAGCTTCCTCCCTATTACACTATCTATAATACCTTCTATATATCCCTCCTTAAGCTATATTACCTACGCGAGGGGGATAAAGCACCTGCTAAATACGAAGACATACTAGCGGATAGGGAAGAGCTGTAGTCTATAGAACGTATCCTATAGCACCGGACTAGGAAAGGCAAGAAGGAGTACCTATTAAGATAGCAAGGCTATTTACCTAAATAGGACTTATAGGAAGCTAAAGGTTCCTTTAAGGACATAACCGAGTTGTTAGATAAGTATTAGACTAGCGTAAAGAACAAGAAGAAGGCCAAAAGCTTATAATGTTACTATTAAGGCCTAGGATTAATACTACCCCCGGGGTACTATTAGCTAACTAATTAGAGGCAAGCAATTGTTAGCAACAAGGGACAATAAGATTACACTACTATAGTAAACGCGCACCGAGTGTTAACAAGCGCGCTATAACGCGTTAACTAGTTACTGCTCTTTTAAAGACTCTACCTCTTATTCCTTTATTCTACTAAGGCCTCGAGGCCTAGGCAATCGACGAGAATACGCGCGCGTACGTGCGAATAACAGTGTATTAGAAGATAGCTAGCGCGGCTATATTAGTAACGGTATTGCGGAGTGTATTGCTATTTAAGAAAGGAAGGACACCGCTATATTAGTAACGGTGTTGCCGAGTTGTTATTAGTCGAAGAAGGAAATCGAAAGCAAGGTAAAGTTAGCGCTAAGACGACTAGCGCCGCTATTATCGACATTACTTGCTATTATTACCGCGCCTATAGACACGACCTTACCTATACTACGAGCCTAAGGCACCTTAATTAAAACTTTAATTAAAACTTTAAGGCTAAGTTAAAACTTTAAGCCGCCTAAAAGATTAAGCGACTAATAGACTAACTAAGGGTAAAACTATAGAGCTAAGCTAGCTAGGGTCGATCTTGCGGATAATAGGTTACTCCTCGATCTATCTAACCCTTTAAGCGAGGCGAACCTCTACTACTACACTTATAATAGCCTTTACCTATAGAAACTAGACAAGCTGTATTTTTTCTAAAAAGATAAGATAAGATTAACAATTAAAGGCTACTAAACCTAACTAATTAGGGCTAGCGAAACTACGAACAATAATAGCCCTCGTAATAACAAGAACAAACCCTCGGAAGCGGACAACCCTCGGAAGCGGACATAGCTAGGTCTTTTAGAGTAGACGCAAAGAACTCGGTACGATATTACGTAGAACGGGGGCAGTGCTATAATATCCCGTATACCTATCTATTATAGTAGGGAAGGTACGCTCGTATTGTAATTAGTCGATAGTCCTTAATTCTTATAGTTATATATTACTTTATTATATATAAGGATAGCGTAGTTAGAGTTAGACATTGTATTAGAAGGTGAGGTTTAATATAGTTATATAATCGGTAGTTGTGCGTTTAATTTAGCGCAGACTAAGCAACCTATTAGACCTACTAAGTTAGTAGCAATAGAGGTTAAGACTAGAACAAAGACCGGCTACGAGGGCGCGGCCTTTAGAAGGGAAGCGTGTATTAGGACTAAAGAGGTTATACGTAATTAGTATATAACCGGGCTCGAGTGAAGCTAGGGTCTTAATGCCTTAGGCAGGGCTTGGCGCTTAGCAATAGGCTAACTTGCCTGCCTTCCTCCCTCTCCTCCTAGCTCCTTATCGAATACTACCTATACCTACTACTACCCTATCTACCTGCTAATATACCCTTCTTATATATAGTAAGCGTCCGCGGCTAGAATCGTCTCTACCCTACGGTCTTATTAGATAATCTATAGTGTTATACTACTATTCTAGATTGTTATAAGGTATTAAGCTAGTATAGAGATAGCTATCTAGCTAATAATGCCTATATAGATCTAGACTATATAACGCGAGTATATATTAATAATTAATCGCTACGTAGATCTTTATTCCCTAATACTCGAATTTACAGCAAGCATCTAGCATTAATATTACGTAACTAGGGCCGGGTATAATAATTACTCTATAGTACTCTCGCGCCCGCTTGCGGCGAACTCGTAATCCTTTAGGATTTAGTAAGGAAGCTATACAATATAGCCGATCTCTACTAATAATATTGTATTTAGACCTAATATAGGTATATAGGTACCGTCGGCTAAAGGAATCTACTATAGACTTCTCGAGCTCTTCCTATAAGACCTCTACTATCTACTCTTTCGCTTCTATCTATCTATCTATCTATTAATAATATCTTTTTTAATCTAAGCTTTTAACGTATCCGTTAATATCTCCGCTAGCTAATCTTAAACCTATCCGCCTATAGTACTCGAACTGCCTCTTTATTAGTTAACTATAGAATATAGAAGGTATATACGACTCGGATCTTTAGTACCTCGATATCGTTAACTTAGTAATAGTAAGTATAGTAGCTATAATTAATATTCTACTCTTGAAGCCTTTATTTAAGTATATTAAGGGATATCTAATAACTAGTCTCCTATATAAGGTACTATACGATTCCTTTTTATATAGTATTACTATAGACTTAAGATATTATCTAACTTGAAGCCTTCTATAGCGATAAATCGATACGTAGAGGCATTCTACGAGTCGATAGCGAGTATAGTACGAGTCGCAGAAAGATAAATATAAAGAATTAGGTAGTAATAGCGGTAAGAAGTATAAGAAACCCCGCATTAAGCCTCTGGTATATATGGGCCTCCCTATCCGCATAGACATTCGGCACTTGCGACGGCGACGGCGACGACGATGAGCCTCCCTCTGCAGCAGCAGCAGCAACTTCTCCTCTTTTGCCTCACTCTCCCCATCGCCCTACATACATACATACATACATACATACACACCATCCTGCAAGCCATCGGGGGCTCTGCGTTCGGTGGTGATATGCACACATGATGCCACCGGGCTGATGCTTCTCGCCGTGCGTCAATTGCCAAGTACACACTCTGCACTGCGAGCTTCATCCCGGCATCGAATCTATAAACGAACGCGCACTTCGTCGCATCTGGCCAGCATGTCCACGCCCGCCCTAAGGTTGTGGCAGCACTATTGGCGTTCGAAGCTCGATGCTGAAGATGTGATGGACCTCAAATCTGGAAACTGGAGGCAAAAAGGATCGATACTCATCTGTTCTGTGAGTCGTGTCTGTTTACTTCTCCCTTCCCATTCCTTCTTGACTCGCCCGCGATCCTTCTGTCGAGTCTTTGAAACATATCCATCATCACCTGCAACATGTTTCGATACCTCAACTTCGTCTTTCCCGTCTCCAAACCAGTCCCCAACTCCGATCTAGCCATGGAGGTCTACTCGCCCTCAAGACGCCATACGCAAACCATGATATTTCTCCACGGGAGAGACGATACAGCAGCCGAATTCTCCGAGGCACTCTTCGAATGCCAGACGTCAGATGGGAAGCATCTACGAGACCACTTTCCACACGCCAAGTGGGTCTTTCCCACCGCGCCTATTCTTATGGCTAGGCGGTTAGAAATGGACATCAGTCAGTGGTTTGACATGTGGACCACAGAAGATCCCCACGATGGAGAAGACGGTCAAGATCCCACCGCTGCAATCGACGCCGTCCACAAGATAATACAACACGAGGCTGGAATTGTCGGAGCACAAAACATCGTCTTGGGCGGGATATCACAGGGATGTGCAGTTGCAATACATTCTCTTCTAAAGCAAGAAAGAAAACTAGGTGCATTCATTGGTCTCAGTGGCTGGCTGCCAAAGCCAAGTGCAATCGCCAATGCCGGCAAGCGCTTTCCTTGCGCGCTGGACACTCCTGTCTTCCTTGGGCACTGCCAGCGTGATTCGATAATCAATGTGAAGGACGGAGAGGAGCTCAGAGACTGTCTGCAGGCGATCGACATGCAAGTTGACTGGCACTCATACAATGACGACAAGCACTGGATTAGCGAACCAGACATCCCATCCATGGAAGCCTATCCGACCGAAGTGGACGAGATCGTCGACTTCCTGCACAAGACATTGAAGACTGAAAGCAGCCGAGTATATGAGAAGACTTCGATTGGACGGCCGCAAGTACGCAAAGCTCAGGTCTCAGATGCTGAGTCTGAATTGCCTTGGCTGTATGGTCCTACGATTAAGATTTGACGAAGATGGTGAAAGCTTAGAACGATGTACGATGTTTTGAGATTTGACCGTCATTGTAGCTTATGCTGCCTCAAGTACTCGTAAATGGGCAGCTCGTCTCCGACAATCTTTCGCAATGCTTTGCATGCCACCATGTTCAGGAGTGTTCGGCTAAAATTGACCATATACGCGAACTTTTCATCTGCTGGCTGACATATCTTTGGGCACAACCGCGAGCGGATCTTGGCTTGGGGATTCAGGACCCATGCCATAATCTCGGAGACATTGACTAATGCTTCAAGTCTATGCCACCACTACGCACTAGCCTCTGCCTCCGCCTGTCGATTCGCAACGCTCCCTCCCCTCCAATTATGCTTAGGATCAGCTTTCTTCTCGGCCTCGCTAGCCTTGCCGACAGGACCCCATCCACCACCTCCGGGCGTCATCACAATGATCCGCTCTCCTGCTTGCATAGAAGCGGTATTCTTTGCTCCAAGAGAGATATAACGGACTTCCTCCTCCTGTTTACTCTCACCATTGACACCATTTGTCTTCTTCTCGCCATTCAACTTCTCATCTGCATCACTACTCTTGACCTTAGGCACCTTCCTTACCCAAATGTTCTTCCCGCAGGCCGCATCCTCGCCACCTGCCAGTCCATAAGGATGATAGACTCTTCTCTCGGACAAAATCGAGACTTGTACCGGGATTCTGAATTCAATATCTCTTACCACACCATCGCCTCCCCGATGTTGTCCTTTTCCATGACTTCCTTTCCTCAAACTAAACTCCCTGAGCAAGACAGGGTATCTTCTCTCGAAGACTTCCGAATCAGTAATTCGCGTATTGGTCATATGTGTATGAACACCATCCGTACCATCCCAAGTCCTCCCTGCTCCAGATCCTCCTGCAATCGTCTCGTAGTATCCGAATCCTTGGACGGATTTCTCTCCACTGACATTGCCTCCGAATCCGAAGGTGAGGTTATTTGTGTCGCCTTGGGATGCAGCACAAGCTTGGAATGCCTTTAGAACCACATCGGTGACTCTTTGAGACGTCAAGACGTTGCCACCAACAACGGCTGCCGTGCCTGATGGTGAGAGGAATGATTTGGGAGGAATGATCACCTGGACCGGTTTGAGACATCCTTGGTTCAATGGTATGTCTTCACTGATGAGACATCGGAGGCAGTAAATTATAGCGGAGTAGGTGACGGCTTCGGGAGCATTGGTGTTGGCGTAGACTTCTGGCCCGGTTCCTGTAAAGTCGAAGATCGCTTCGCCCTTTTCTGCGTCGATTGTGACTCTGAGCTGGATTGGAGAGCCATCATCCATGTAGTCGATCGCGGAGAGATCCTGGCCTGAGAAGCGATGCGAGACGTCCTTGAGGAGCTTGCGGACTGAGAGTTCAGCGTTGTCTTGAATGTTGCGCATGTAGAATTGCACGACGTCTTCGCCGTAGTCCTCGATCAGAGTTGAGATGAGATTTATGCCTTTCTGGTTTGCGGCGATCTGGGCTTTGAGGTCATTGAGATTGTCGGCCAAACAACGAGTGCCAGAGCACCCAGGATATTGTGCTGGTTCGTCAAGGAGCAGTTCAGTGATTCGCTTTTCATTGAAGTGGCCTTCGGATACGAGCTTCTCAGTTTTGATTGCCGCGCCTTCCTGGAAGAGTTCTCGGGAATGCGGTGGCATAGAGCCAGGAAGGATTCCCCCAATGTCTGCGTGGTGGGCCCGCGAAGCAACGTAGAAGACGATGTTATCACCAGAGAAGGCGGGCGTGATGACGGTGATGTCGGGAAGATGTGTACCGCCGAACATGGGATGATTGGAAACAAGGACGTCGCCCTTTTTGAGCTTTCCTTGCCAGATCTCGGACTGCTTCTTCACACAAGTGGACATGCTGCCAAGATGTACAGGCAAATGAGGTGCATTGGCCACGAGACCTCCATCTGCGTCGAAGAGCGCGCAAGAGTAGTCAAGTCGTTCCTTGACGTTGGTGCTGACTGATGTTTTCTGAAGGGCTCGACCCATTTGTTCTGCGATGGCCATGAAGCGATGGGCGAAGATTGATAGCATGATCGGATCAACGTTTTTGGTGTCGACTTTCTTCTCCTGCGCGTCAGTTTCGCCAAGGTTGATCACGACGTGCGTGTTGATGAGAAGTGCTGTTGCTTCTGGTGTCACAACAATAGTCTGTGTTCCGTCTGCGATGATAGCTGGGCCCTTGATCCGGTCACCAACCTCGAGATCTTCGAGCTTGTAGACCGATGTCTCTTGTCGACCGCCTTCGAAGTAGACAGACTTTGTACCATAGGCTTTCTCACCGTTCTCAACGTCTCTGGGCTTGATCTCGTTCAGCTGATGATCGACGGTCTTCTCGAGTCCTTCAAAGGTCTTGCCAATGCTCCTGACACGTACATCATCGACAATGATATCCCGGTCTGGGAGAGTGAACCCGAATTCTTGCTCGTGCTGCCTGGCGAAAGCCTTGCCGAATGCCCATTCGTCGCCGTCATAGTCGGTGCCGACTTCCTCTTTCGTAGGCTTGACAACCATGAGTGCCGATTCAGTCCCGCGATACCGCATGTTGAGATACTCCTCGTAGTGAATCTGATCTTCCGAGAATCCTTGGTCCTTAAGTGTGCCAGTCGACTTCTTTTTGAGCTCGTTCAACTTGTTCTCAAGATATCTCCTTACTTCTTGGTCATTGTCAGACCAGATCCTTGATTCTGGCTCCTGCCTCTCATCCACCACATCTGCAAGTGCCATTCCATATGCAGAGAGTACCGAAGAGTATCGATGGATGAGGATCTGGGTGATGCCAAGTGCTTCTGCAATCGCAACAGCGTGTTGTCCACCGGCACCTCCGAACGTAGCCAATCTGTGCTTACTTGTGTCGTGTCCACGTGCTTCAGTCAAAGAACGGATAGGTCTCGTCATCGTCTCGTTGGCGATCTTGATGAAGCCGTGCGCCACCTCGTCTGCAGTCATCTCCTTTTCCTTGTTGGAACCTGCGTTCTCCTTGTTGATCTGCGCGGTAAGCTCCTCGAACAACTTCTTGCTTGCTTGCTCGTCCAGACCTTCGTCCTCATTCTTGCCGAAGATCTTCGGGAAGAAATCTGGTAGGAGCCGGCCCAAGAAGAGATTCGCGTCGGTGATCGTGAGCGGTCCGTCCTTTCGATAGCAAGAAGGTCCTGGGTGAGCGCCTGCACTTTCAGGCCCAACGACGAACAGCCCATTCTTCCAGAATAGTCGCGATCCTCCACCTGCTGCGACTGTATTGATGTCCAGCTGTGGCGATTGGATTGTTACGCCTGCGGTCGTCGTCTCGAATACATGATCATATCTTCCGCTGCCATATCGCGACACATCAGTCGAGGTACCTCCCATGTCGAAGCCAATCACAGGAATCTTCGTCTCGGGATCGTAGCTCGTAAGTGCATATCCGACCACACCTCCTGCTGGTCCCGACAGAATAGCCCTCAGCCCGCTGAAGATGTCCACATCCACGAGACCTCCATCAGACTGCATGAACTCGCATCTTGCTCCCTTCGCACCTGCTTCGTTCTTCACGCTCTCCGTGCCAAGGCCACCCTCGAAGCCCTTTTGGAATCCATCAATGTACTTCCGTATAGCTGGGGTGAGATAGGCATCAGCGCACGCAGATGTCGCTCTGGGAACCAGCTTGATCATAGGCATGAGCTCGTGCGAAAGCGACACATGTTCAAAGCCAATCTCCCTGGCGATCTTACCAACCAAAGCTTCATGCACAGGGTACGTATATCCGTGCATAAGGCATACAGCGATGCTCTTTAGTCCTGAGTCAAAAAGCTCTTGCAGCTGCTCTCGAATCGTCTCCTCTTTCGGTCGTTGTAGTATCCGCACTGTCTCACCACTAAGTCCTTTGACCAGCTCTGCGTGGTTGCCCGCCTCTTGAATTGTCTTGGCACCTGTATTCTTCCGTTCTGGGTCTTCTGCGTAGTCTTCTAATGTGACTCGCTCGTCAATCTCAAGTACCTTCTTGTATAAGACGTCCGGCTTCCTGATCGCCAGATCGAAGATATTCGGTCGGCTTTGGTTGCCAATCTCTAAGCAGTCCTTGAAGCCCTTCGTAACCACCATTGCAATGTCCTCGCCTTTCCTTTCTAGCAATGCGTTTGTGGCGACCGTTGTGCCCATCCGTATGCTTTCGATCTTGCTCGTGTCTAAAGGTTCACCTCTCGGTATGCCCTTGCCAGTAAACTTCTCCAGCAGACGCCTGATGCCCTCTAATGGCGCATCGTCGTAGTTCTGTGGATCGACTGAAAGCAGTTTGATCAATACGTCGTCTTCCATCTTGCCTGTGCCCGGATTGCCGACGCAGTCTGTGAAGGTTCCACCACGGTCAATGGCTATCCGTATGCCCTTAGTCGAGGCACCATGGACCTCGTTGTTCGTAGCGGCTCCCATGCTGGGCGGCGAGGGGTTCGATGGAGAAGCAAGATTGATCGCCGGCGTCGTAGATGGGTGTGGTCCTGGCCGAGATCAGTGGAGCAGCAGGAGAAGGAAACAAGGGCGACTGAGGGGTGTGATGAAGCTAGGAAAGTCTTGGAGAGAGAGGTCGACATCAGACCTGGTCAGACCGTGAAACAAGGTGCATGTGGTTCTAATGCTCGGCGAGGCGAAATAGCTTCTTGACCTTGCCCGCTCTCGATCTCGCGAGAATGTCTGCATACAGCGTGTGCCATCTGGACGCGCAGGAAGAGGTCTCCCGTCCCTGGATATACCAGAATCCCCTCGCGGATGACGCCAGGCGTTGGACGGCTGACATCGCAGATCCAGCGGTGGAGGCGTTCCACAAAGCTCTGCCAGACTACAACGAGACGCCACTCCGTGCTCTCGACGACGTCGCTTCCGAGCTTGGCCTGGCCCATGTCTTCCTCAAAGACGAATCTGCACGCTGTGGCCTCCCGGCCTTCAAGATTCTGGGTGCCAGCTGGGCCGCCCACAACGCCATCTGCAAGCACCTCCACCTCCCAAGCACATCATCTCTGCCCCAGGTAAGAGCAGCACTGGCCGAGGCTCAGGCAGCAGGCAATGCAGTCCGCCTGGTCACTTGCTCGGAAGGAAATTGGGGCAGAGCATGCGCGCGCATGTCGAGGATTCTAGGCATCGAAGCCACAATTTACGTGCCAGGTTTCATGAGTACATCCACGCTGAATCTGCTCCGCGACGAAGGAGCACATGTGAGAGTGCTCAAGAACGGAAGCTACGATGACTCGATTGCCGCTACACGTAAGGATTCACACGAGACCGGCGCGTTGATGGTGATGGACACCAGCTGGGCGGGCTATGCTGAAGTGCCACAGGTGAGCCCTCCTTTCACCCCATTCATGCTCGGCTAATCCCATCGTCTAGTGGGTCACAGATGGCTACAGCACAATGTTGACGGAGACCGATCGACAGGTCGCTGCCGTGGCTCCAGGCGTCAAGCCAAATACCTTCTTCGCTTCGGTTGGCGTGGGATCCTGGGCACATGCTGTCGTGGCACACTACAAGGCTGCTGCTTCTGACAATCGAATCATTAGTGTCGAGCCGACTGCGGCAGCGTCTCTGAAGGAGAGCCTGCACATGAGAAAGCTGACGCCTATCAAGACGCGCGAGACCATCATGGCCGGCATGTGTTGTGGCACGACTTCAGACATCGCGTGGCCTGTTTTGAAATCTGGCACTCATGCTGCGCTGACCGTCACCGACCAAGAATCACATGAGAGTGTGCAATATCTGCAACAACGGGGAGTCAATGCAGGGCCTTGCGGAGCGGCGACCTTGGCTGCTCTGCGGAAGTATGTTGCGGACGTTGATCCAGAGGAGAGGAAAAGCATGGTGGTCGTGCTCTTCTCCACTGAAGGCTGGCGAGAATACGAAGTGCCCTCGTAGGAATGTCGGGTTTGCGAGGCAAATTCGAACGTCCTCGAAGTACAGAGAGGGAGAAGTGCATCTCGATCAAATCAGAGACAATAGCATATATAATACACTCCGGACGTGATATAAAGTATAGAGAGGGAGAAGTGCATCTCGATCAAATCAGAGACAATAGCACATATAACACACTCCGGACGTAATGTAAAGTACAGAGAGGGAGAAGTGCATCTCAATCAAATCAGAGACAATAGTATACGTAACATACTCCGGACGTAATATAAAGTACAGAGAGGGAGAAGTGCATCTCAATTAAATCAGAGACAACAGCACATATAACACACTCCGGACGTGATGGAAAGAGGAACCACCATCTCCTGCTCAGATTGGCATGACATACATGACAGAGTGACAGTTATGCTGACGATATTTGAGTAGCCTATTCAAGCTTGTTACATAGCTAGCAATAGAAAATGCTTTCCTCCTCGAAAATTATGATTACCATGTGCCGTGGGTGTCGACCGGCGCTTGTCGTGTCAGTCATTCTTTGCTTGGAGAGATACGAAATCTTTTCCTTGTCTGTGTTCAGCGAATCCTTCCTTCGGAACACCGAGCCAATGCAAGAGGTCATCCACGTCCATCTAGTACGCAACAAGACCAACCAGGGCCACCAGAGCAGAGATGCCAAAGGCAGATGCGGCGGAAGCAGCCAGCGTTGATGGGGCGGCACCGGTGTATGGAGTAATTGGGGTGGTGGTGTTGGTCGTGTTGCCGGGTGGTGTGATGATCCTCGTGGTGTTGGTTGGTGGTGCTGATGGTCCACCATATCCGCCAGCGGTGCTGGGCACGGAGCCGGCATCCGTAGATGTGGTGGAGCTTGCGGTGGAACCCTTCGAAATACTAGCCGTGGCAGAGGCGACGCTACCGCTGAGACCAGCAAAGGCTGCGACACCCGTCTTGATAGAGTCGATAACGGGAGCGGCCAATTGCTGGCCAATGGGCTTGAGCTCAGCGGGAAGCTTGCTGAGGATGGCGTCCACGAAGGCAGAAGCGGACTTCTGCTGTCCCTCGAGAATTTCGCGGACCGCTCCTCCCAATCCAGCCTTCACGAAGGCATCCTTTTTGGCAATCAAATCGCCAATGGTCTGGTTGACAGCCTTCGACAAATCTTGGACTGGTGAAGCAAGGCCGAGAGCATCCTGCTGTTGGAGTGTCGGAAGTCCCTTGGCAGCGGCTGTGCCCTTATCAACAGTGTCGCTGAGGTCCTTGGCAGCGCTCTGGATGGCAACTGCTTGCTGAGCATCGCCATTGAATGCCTGAACGGCCTTGTCGACAGCCTGGACCTTGGACGTCAAACCGGAGATCGCTGATGACACATCTGCTATCGTTTGGCGGCGGTAGACATCGGCGGCGAGAGCACCGGAAACGAGAAGTGCGTTGATAAGGAACTTCATTGTGGGCGATTTTGAGTGGCTAACGAAGGTACAGATCGTCGAATGATTGTATGTACAAACAAGTTGCAACAAACGAAGGTGAGGAGCTCGAGGAGTCTGCGGAAACCCGGATGGCGCCATTGACTCCTTTTCTATATAGGTCTATGTATACTGACCAAGAATGCGAGGGTGGTGAACCGCCACGGCGGCTAGGTTTGCAGCGGCGGCTTGTCCACTTCCATGGTTGTTTACAGGCCATATATGGACCGCCAAGAGGTCCAATTTCGAGCCAATTTGAAGCCTTGTAATCGCATGGTATAGGCCTGCTTACAATGAAGCCAAACTAGACCTTATCTGGCGGCCATTTCCACCTCTTGTTTATCGACCTGTTCCACCTCTTCCTCGCGGTTACGTGTCGCGCTTGTTTTGACCTCACTGTCGCTAGTATGGGTAATTATTCTAGGCATTTGGCGCCTGAAGATGTGAACGCGTTGCTCAGTGAGCTGGAGTGTGAACAGTCGGTACGTAGTCGCTCGTCGCTCGTCGCTCGTCGCTCGTTCTCGCAATCTCGTAGATAATCGCTGAGGTGTTGCTGTCGCAGTTTCAGAGCCCTTTTCCACCAAATATGTATCAGCAAAGGCACCAATTCTTCTACCCTCGTGACCGCGAATACCGTTCAGAAGTAGACGATATTCGCCTTCCTTCTAGTCGTGTAGTGCGTGACCAGGCAGGCGTACGAATAAGCGGCTTCGAATACGACGAATATCGATCGTTTGCTACCAATATTTGGCTTCTCAAGAGCCGGCCGCCTAAGCTATCGTTGGATCCAGCGAAGCGGCTGTTTCGCAGGGTAAAGTTCGAGTGTCGCCTTCACAAGCGGTTTATAGACTATTAGCGCGCGGAAAGTCGTGATAGTAATAGTGGTAGTGGTGGTGACAACGAGAAGGCGTCGAAGTCGAAGAAAGCGAGGTGTCGACGGCGGAAGCGTGTTGCGCAGAGGGCGTACGACTGCCTTGCAAAACTGACCGTTCTCGAGTTCTACGAGAAGGATCAAAACAGCTATTTGGGGGTGTTTCTTAATAACACTGTGCTAGCGGACTCACCTGTAGACTCAGTAACGGTGCTGAGGCCTTCGCACGTTATCCTCTTGCCACTAGAGCATTGTCATTCGCATACTCTCGAGTTTGTAGATGGAATATAGGTCAATGACGGTGTAAAGGCTGTTTGGAAGGAAATACTCGAATTTCGAGCAGGTAAGCGTAGTTGTAAGTTCTTGGCGGCTCACATGCTAATATTGACCTGTTTCTAGGCTCTTCGACCGTTTCTAAGTTAGTCAATGAAATGAGAAGACCTAAGCAAGCGACAATATAGCGAGACGCAGGTGCTATTAGAATTACACGTAATCGAGTCCGCAATGCAAACAAAGCCGCTATCACTCGAATGAGCGACAAACGTAGGTCTAGCGCTAACGAGTCGATTCAACGACAGTTACAACAGGCTCTAGAATACTTGACTGCCAAATTCGGCCTATACAGCGCCAATCCAACTAGACAAGCTTAGGCAATCCATTTAGCGAGCGACAAGAAGGACAAGAAGGGTACCTTCCAATCTGGTCTTGTATGGGCTTCCGACTAGCAATTACAGCTTCTTCGCAATTATAGTGGCTTGTTCTTGCTGGACTCTACATTCAGCACTAATAAGCCTCTCTAGCTATTGTTTACGGTCCACGTCCGCAATCAGTATCTCGAGTGGCTTCCGGCTGGCTATATGCTTCTGTCTTGTAAGTAGGCGCACCTTATTGAGGCGGCAATAAGAGCCCTTCGTTCAATAGCTAAAACTGACTTCCAGGTCAAAATCCGCTCTTATAATAGCGACGGCAGAAGGCAACACTTCCACTAGCGAATACACGTAAGCAAAGGACCTGACGACCTCTTTAAGCAGTCTGACTGGATACTACTTTGGTCTATTACAGACGACTCGGCTAGTGAGCAACGTGCTATCAACTAAGCGCTCAGCGATTGCTGTATTCAATAGCGGCTTTGCTAACGCCATGTTGTTAAGACCTTTAAACGGCGGTTTAAGAAGCATCTACTAGCGCTCAAGGCTATGTCTAATGCTATGTTTATTGCTAGAGACCAAGACGAGTGCTATCACTTTATTGAACGAGCGGCTACTAAGCTCGAGAAGGCGAAGAAGAAGCTAGAATACCTCCGCAACAACTGGCCGGCTTTATAGAGCGATCGATAGGCGACTTAGGCAAGGCTCGGAGATCCCCTTTTAATAGCTATTCGAACAACGTTACTACTAGAGGGCTATCACGCATACTTGAAGCGCCGAGATAAGCGTTGGATGCGCTAATGGAGCTTGAGAGGTGCGTATTCTTCCTATTCCTACGGTGCAGTCGGAATTCTACATGAAAATGTATTTCTCGGCACGGCCGCATTCCTTAGAACGGCTTCGAGATTCATCGACTATCTTCCTTCTATATTCTTTCTACTAACAACTATGCTATTCACTAACCATTTCTAGGCTTAGTAATGCACCTAATTTACCTCGATAATTACATCTACGAGCGCGCGGTTCAAAATGGCTAAATCGACGGTTAGGGCTGGCTTCCGCTTTAGAAGGAAGAATGCTGTCTATCCTTTAAGAATTTGCCGCTTTCTATACAGAAGAAGATGGCCGATGAGCTTATACAGGCTTACAAGGACCGCGAGAATGGCAAGCCTATATAGCGGATGTACCTACCTACTATAGACGAGACTGCTTACACTAAATGCTTCTGCTACTTCTAGTATAGCTATCACCTTCCTTGCAAGCATATATAGCGCTTCCATATCGATAGAACGAGCCGTCTAACTCCTTAGCGCTGCAGGCTCTATATTAGTCGCTTCCAAGGACCTAACAGTAACCTCATCTATCCAGACTAGTATAATAGCAAGCTAATTCTTAACTACAACGACGACGACTATCGATCTACTACTAGACAGCTTGTCGACCTTAACAAAGGACCTAGTATCTACAAGCTCCGTGCAGTAAAGGAATACTTCTATTCTATATAAGAAGGGATTACATAGACCTTCTTCCGCTTCTACAACAGCTAGGCTTCTAAGCTGAACGATGAACAGCAGTATGAAGCCTTGCTTTAGTAGGTGACGCACTACGGCAATATAGCTCAATTAGTAATAGACATTCACATACAAGAATGGCTTAACAAGGGCGCTCCGCAGGCCTATTTGACACCTCGTCGTGAAGCTAAGTAGCGCTTAGCAGTCGACGATAGGCCATTACAACAACCAGTCTTCAAACAACCGCTAGCACCGCTAGCACCGCTAACTCTAGCACCTTCAGCCGCCGACGAGGCTCCGCGGCGGCTATTTATTGTCGTTAATAGCAGTGCGCTGCCTGTCTACGGTCCAGTTAATAAGTACAATATTATTAACAACGTTAACTTCACTCTAGTCGTTGTAGACAGCAACAACGACGCCGATATAAACCTCTCCGACCTCACCGACAATAATGCGCCTTATGTAAGCGACGAGGACTTCTTCCAAGGCCTATGCGATACAGACCTTCTACAATCTATACTACTTGAAGCTAGTCGACTCGAGAGCAGTCGATTGCCGCTATCTTTGCTAAAAGACGCTAGCAAAAGTGATCAACACGATAACGACGAGGCATTAAGGCATCAATCCTCACCAGACGATTTGCTATCACTAAGTGAGCTGTTTCCACTACGCCAACCTCCACCTCTACCTTCTATAGAGCCACTACCTTCTACAGAGCCGCCACCTTCTTCGGCACTATCTACAGCTTAGTATTCATTACCTGTATAGTCACCTAGTGAAGACACTTCAATTGATCTACTGCAGCTATCAGGTGGCTCTTATAAACCTCGTCGTTAGAAGCCTTCAATTAGTGAGCCTGTAACACCTTCGAAACGCGCTCGTAGAAGGTTACACGCAGGTGCACTACCTAAACCGCACCGGATAGATCAATCCTCTCGTACGCTATCTCCTACACCAATTGGACTACCAAAACGACGGATCTAAGGAGAGGTTGTCGCTTCTGAGCGGTGGAAGTGGTGGTGCTAAGGTGCAGGCGTGGACTTAGTCGTTTTCGAGCGATTACGGCTGTTCGGAACGGTGGAAATCCGAGGTAATTGGGTTGCACAAGGGGTGTTTACAGTACCCCGTTTTGTACACTAATTTAGCTGGTTCTAGGGCACTTTGCAGGGTCGCACGGAACCCTCAGGGTGCGCTGGAGCTACCTCGAATTTGACTTCTTGGTCAGTATACGTGGACCTTTTCTATATACGTACTACTCAACCAACCTCCTGCCTGTCCCATGTATGATGTAGCAACTGGACCAACTCGACCAACAAGGCCTCGGTCGCATGCATCCACGACTTCCGTGGACCGTGCATCTCCTGTTAGACTTGGGCTGGACATTGTCAAATCTTGGGGTCCCTTTCATCACGACAGTTCGTCCAGCTGTCACCTGGAACTCTGCCCTGGAAGTTCTGGGGTGCTTGTCGAAGCTTTCAAGACTTCATACCAATAGATCAGCTGGTCGGATGGCACGCACGTGACAAGGTAGGGTAGTGATTGGACAATTCGTTCTCTCATTTGGGACACCGCCCAAGAAGGAAACTGGAACAGGGCCATCCATACCAGCTGCGCTTTGCAATAAGCCGGGATGCAAAACAAATCTCAACCTTCGACGTGTCGACCTACAGCCGAGATGAGCACTTGCATGAAGAATATGCTGTGCTGTGATTGACGAAGCACGACATAGAAGACGAGAGAAGTGTGTATATTGCGCCAGGCTGAGACGAGGCTGTTTGACTAACTTAAAGCACAGCATCAAGACTGATAAGCTGGCTCGCCCTTTTCATGCATGCAACTCGACGCGGTCGCTTGACTTGCCTTTTGGGAGGTGATCGGCACGACTTGGGATAACTGCAAGAAATTCATGTGTCACAAATTGATTAATTTCCTGAGGCCGCCGTTCGGTCAAAGGACACAAGTCACGAGTCCATCTGTCAGCTGATTTCTGGGAATGTGGTGAGGTCTCCTGTGCAATAATAAGGAACTTGCTTCTTCAGACAAAGCCGTTGTCAGTATGCCAATTGAGAGGTCATTGCGCTCCAGAAGCCATCACTGTTGTAGAGTAGCATGTGTGCTGTGATCCAAGCATATCGATAGCGACTGGAAGAGCTCAAGAATAATGGCCATTTGACACAGCATTGGTAGACGCTACGGGCTGCTTGAATAGGATCGCAGAGTAGGTTGAGATGATTAGTAATGATAATAATAGCATTTGAGGACTTCGAGTGAATAATAAAGATTCCCAAGTTGTGCTGAAACGAGACGAGGCCGGAACAAGGTTGGGCCGTTTGTTAGTTGATTCGACCTCGGGTGTCATTTCCTCCTAAAACACGCGAGCGCTACATATAGCACAAACCTGACCTTACCTAGTACTGAGAGGAAGCGAGGCCTGTCGTGTGAGGGATACAGAAGCAGACCTGAACAGGTCAGTCCTCCTTGCCGCCTTCGGTGAGGTCACGGAATTCTTAGGGCGGCCCTGGAAAGAGCTTCTGGATTTTCAGGACAGCTGGAAAAAGTCGAGTTGTTTATTAAGCATTCAATCATTGGTCTGTCATACCCATATGTACATGCGTTAGAAGAGTGTATCAAAAATCGTGATTCAGCGCCCAAAAAGCTGCCCGTGACAGTTCTGACGCGACCGGCGCTCAGATGTCATGACGGAATACCAAGAATTGCAAGTCGAGTATGCTTCATGGCCGGCTCACCCTCCTCATAATGTAAGCGATCACACTCCCAGGTGATGTTGTTGTAGGCGTTCATGACGCAGCCAACGGTATTGAAGATGAAGAACAGCAGGAAAACGAGCCAATATGCTGTGTCGTCATAGTTCCTTCGTTGCACATATGCTTGGATGAAGGTGGGCAGGCATATTATCGCATTGATCTAGGGCCAGCATTAGCGAGTGCCACTGCCGGGCCGCCAAAAGTTCATCGACGCACAATCATCAGTCTCTGTAATCTCACAGACAAGTAGAGATACTGCTTCCGGTCCTTCAGGTTTGCTTCGTCTCTCGTCCAGCTTGCTCGCTGCACCATGAGCACGGCGGTCTGAAGCCAGGCAGTCGCCCATAACACGAGCCAGACGGTGGCGGTGGCGGTGAATGCGTGGGAAGTCGTCCTGTCGTAAGAACCTATCACTGCCGCAGCGATTGCAAAGCAGCACGAGGGGATAGCAAAGCCGTAGAAGAGGATGGCTTCCTGTTTTCTGCCCAGTCCCCAATGCCGGATGGGTTCGAAGTAGGCGTGTGCCGCGTGCTGCTCTGCGGTCTCTCCAGGCGCGGGCCCGTGGCCGTGGGCGTCGTAGTGCATATCTGCATCTTCGACGGTGGCCATTCTGAAGCGGAGCTCAACAAGGTTCTCCTGCGAGTCCCGGGGGCCTGGTTCGTCGCGTGCTTCAGGAATGCGGGCCAGGTTGGGTGTGAGACACGGGGGTGGGGTATGGGAGCGAGCGTCGTGGTGGTGGTGGTGGTGGTGGTGGTGGCGGTGGTATGGGGGGGGCTGGGAAATGCGAAGTGTGCCAGAGCGCCGGGGAATGCTGAGCTGACCATGTGTTGCTGCTGATCGAGCACCTGCAGCATTGAAGTCGCGCCTTGCCGGATGCTGCCGTGACCACTCGGTTCCCGGCAGCTTCTGGCGGCGATCCCTGCATATGCCAAACGAGAGCTTGTTGTTGGATGAGGTGAGGCACTGCACTCTGCGACAGCATGTTTGACGCGATATCAGCATGTGAAAGTCAGCATGTGAATGTTTGAGGTGCCGCCATGGGCCAGACGTCCTCTCAAATCGATCAAGTGCCGCGAACGCAGCCTGACGCACAACTCGCACGCTCGCCCTCGCCCGCTGCAAGTGTCCACACAAGCGCGAGCCGCGCACTGGCACGCGATTTGGAAGAATCGGTATATGCATCTGCCAAGAAACCCACCACGAAGATTAGCGCGACCAGCGACATCGCGAAGGGAGATGCGACTGCGACTGTGACTGCGAGACCGAAACGCAGAACACGCGCTGCCGAGTTACGCGACGACGTCAAACTCGACGACATCAAGAACGCCACGGACACAGCAGACCCAGTAGCTGAGAAAGAGCGTGCGCGGCCGCGGAAGAAGCGCAAGACTGCTCAGGAGACCGAAGCAGAGCCTGAAGTAGCGCCTAAGATGGCATGTGTACAGCTTCCCAAAAGCCCTGCCAAGGCGAAGCAACTTGATGTCCCAGTCATGCATTCTAAATCTGACGCTCCTGCTAAGAAACGAGGCCGGCCGGCCAAGGATCTTAACAGGTCAGACGAGAGACCCGAAGATAATCAGGAGAAGCCTGTCCATGAGCCAATTATAGTGGAATTGACGAAAGCGAAGGTGAAAAAGCGGAAGAGAGTTACAGAACCTGAGCAGGCAACAGCTGGCGCAGATGCGGTGGAGAATGCGGAAGTATCTCTCCATGCTGAGGCTGGCTCATCAAAGCCTTCCCGCAGAAGGAAAATAAATGATGTTGAGGAAGAGCATGAACCGCCTGAGCAATTAGGCGGAAGCACACAAGCGAGTGCGAATCCGCCTGACGCAGTGGTCGACCACACCTTGTTGGAGAGCAAGGTTGCGGAACGAACACTGACTAACGAGGACATGGAGCTAGAACGCAGTGATGGCGAGATTGACCAGGAGGACCTACAGCGGCTCAAGGCAAGGAATGCGCTTCGCCTCCAGATCAAGAAGTGGGAAGAGGAGGAACTGGTCTATGCCGGCAAAGCGAAGTGGAAGAACGGCAAAGACGGTGCCAAGTACCTCAAATTGGCGCAACCTGGGCACAAGTTCAAGAGGCCGAAGCTTGACGCAGAGCAGCAAAGTCGAGCAGATCTTGAGTCCGAAGCTAGAAAACAGAGCATTTCGGTCACACGTGACGCTCTTCTCCAAGTTCTAGTTAGAGAAGATCTGATGCGAGCATTGCCGCATGCACACATCCCGACTGCCCCGGATTCAGGAAAAGAGATAACCGAAACGCGCAAGTCCCAACCCGTCGTACAACAGGCGGAAGAAGGGCCCAACGAGAATGCTACTCGTGGCACGAGTGAGCATGTGTCGGACTGGCTCGCTAGCCAGAACGAAGAGTCTCCTGTTCCTCCGGAGCAGTTGGAAATACACCAAGGATCTTCGAAGAAGCGGAAACGCAAGTCAGTGTTACGTGCAGATGATGACGAGGACTACCAGCTCGACGGTAGTTCTGTCGCGCCGGAAAGCGCCAATTCTGCGTCAACGACTACCAAAGCTGCACGCAAGGAAGCGAGAAGGCAGCGCAGGGAGTCGGAGATGAATGCAGCGCCGGAAAAAGAGTCTGATGACGGTGATGACGACGAGCCGCCGACAGCCAAGAGAAAGAGCGAGGCAAAGAAGAAGGAGAAGATGAAGAAGAAGAAGAAGAAACAGTCCAAGGACGATACAGGCTCCAATGCAGGCAGGTCAGGCAATGAGATGATCAAGGGCCCATTTTCGCAGGAAGAGAAAGATATTGCCGACGGCATCTTTGCAGAGGTGATGCGACAGGAGGGCCTATCTGAAGCTGAACTCATAGCTCAGATCAAGAATTGGCGAAACTGCGGCACTTTCAAGGCAGACATGTTTGAGGCCTTCCCGCGACGCACAAAAGACTCAATACGCAAATTCGCAGAGCGACGGTTTCATGGAATGGAGCGTGGCCCATGGACAGCCGAGCAAGATCAAGCGCTACGTGCCGCCCATACAAGTCATCCTGGTCAGTGGTCCCAGATAGGCGATCTTGTGGGACGCACTGGGGCGGATTGCAGAGATCGATGGCGATTACAGCTCCAGCACGAGAACGCTGTCACAGGGCCCTGGACTGTAGACGAGGAAGAAGAGCTTCTGGCAGCAGTCGAGGAATGCATTGATGCAATCAAGACCAGCATTACTGACACCAGCACCTCCAACAACCGCGACAGACTGGAAGCTTTGTTAAATTGGACGGTCGTCGCGCAAAAGCTTCACGGCAAACGGACGGGCAAACGATGCCACGAGAAGTACGGCAAGCTGAAGACCAGAAGGGCCAAAAATGAAGCAGCATTGATGGGCCTCGGCGCTAGCTCCACGACGCGCGTGAATCAACATACGATTTCTGGACCTAGCGAAGATAAGAAAGAAGCCGAGAAGATGAGGCTTGCACGGAACACTGTCACGAAGTCCTTCGAAATTGGTGATTACTACGACGCCTTCGTCGAGATTCACACGGCTTTCAAGGATCATGATCGGAAGTTCCACGACGAGAAGAATGTACTCTGGTCGATTGTCAGCAGCAAGAACATGCAAAGCCGATTCAGCGTCTTCTGCGCGCCATCTGCTTTACGCAGAGCTGCATTTGAGGATGCAATGGAACAGTGGGTAGCAAAGGAACCAAAGCTGAAGCGGAAGCTTGAGAAGGCAAGGACCATTCCCGCTAAGGCACTGGTTCTCGCTGCGTGGCTTGAGAAGACGTATGGTAACAAGTTGAAGAATCTAACTCGCAAATACCGGCCTGAGCTTATTGGCGCATCCAAGGAGGAGTTGGACAAGGTCAAGAAGGACAGAAGGGTCAAGTATGGCTCGCGAAAGCTCAATACAGCTGACAATAATGTCTCCAAGGACATGATTTCGGATTCAGACGAAAACGAAAGTCCAGCACCGGACGTAGAGATAGCCGACACAGCATTGATTCCTTCTGAAAATGATGCTGCAGACGAGAACGAGCATAAAGCCACACAAGTCGTTCCCGAAATTCAAGAGGAGGTTCTGAAAAATGGAAACGATGCCGCTGCCGATGCACCTTCAGGTCCGAGGGAGCATCAAAAGAACGCGGCTGCAGACGAACAGCGTATGTCGGATTTGGACCATCACGATAATGTACCTCTCCTCAATGCAGACGACTTTGATGCCCGGCTGGAGAAACTTTGGGCGTTTTCGGACGATGAGGACAACGAAGATAGTGACGATGACGATGATGTTGATGTAGACGAAGATGCTGGATGGGATGAAGAGGCACAGGACGAAAAGGTTGTGGTAAAGAACGAGCCCGGCTCGGACGGCGACTCAGCTGATTCTGCAGGTGATGATGAGGATTATGAATGAGCCTTTGCATATGACGTTACAATCAACGTGTTGGCTAGCTCACTGGGCGCCCGACAACATGACTATTTAGCCGTACGTAGAAGATCTGGGAGAGTCGAATGACTTCAGCAATCCCAGCAGAAGCTCAGCGGACCAGAGAACAGAATCAACTCGATCCTGTTTCACCTTCACATGACATTTCCACAACATCCAGACAGAATGCTGGCAGAAGCTCGCGGCCCCATAAGAATCTGGTGGTTGCATAATTTCCAGTCACCCAGTGCTCCGGCACACCACCGCCATGGAGCCTCATCTGCTTGCTCCTCTGGACCACAGCATCAGCAGCTATTCAAAAGACCTTCGGCGGCTGCTCCGAAGAAAGAATCACGGTCTCAACCCCAAATCTCTGTGGGAGCCCAAACCTGTGCTACTTTCAATACGATTGCTTGGTGGCTTGTGGCCCAGCCGGATTTGCAGTGACGGCTTCGAATTTTGTTATGATGGCAAGTATGGAGGTCATGTTATTACCGGGGGCGTTGAGGTGAGATGAGAGAGAATTGGTGGATAGCTGGGTCGAATGATGCTGATTGATGTTTGATCAGATGATTTGTAGGAGGACCAAGGCTGCGGCGATTATGATGAGGAGGGGCGACAGGCGTTGTGATGCTGTCAATTCGTTGGATATCCCTCTCCAAGGCGTGCCTTTCTCTATGCCAGCTCGAACGCATTTCTCTTCCCTTTCTTCTGATGTTGCGTTCCTGATTGAGAAACTCCGGAACCCGGTCGGCGTTAAATATTGCTTCAGATGCATCAGGAAATCCGCAATTCCAGATGTATGGTGTAGAGCTCTCATTTGCACAATTTTGGACATCATACATCTGTAGTACTGACACGCCAACACCTTTCTTAAAGTCTTTATCATCTGCCGGGCTGCCTTGGTGGAACGATATCAGAGAGTAATTGGCACGTGAATTGTAGGTACCTCTTTCTGACAGGGTGGCATTGAGACTGCTCCCGGAGGTTTTGGCTGCTGCTATATCTGCGGGTATGTCGTCGAGGTTGAAGCATGCGAAGTCGCTGGGTGCTGGGTCGAATCTGATTAAGAGACTGGAGCTTGATCCATAGCCAGTTTCCGGCGCGAGTTCAGGGTCATCGATTTCGAGAGTCAAGCCGGTTGGGTTGGGGTAGTCGATGACTTGATCGGTTCTAGGAGCAAGTCAGTTGCATGTATATGTTAAAGTGCGGCCGATGCCTGACATTATCTGTGCGAAGCAGATGTTCCGACAGAAATAGATGCTTGACAGCGTGAGGTAGAGGCGAAACATGGTGAGTTGTATATGCGAAAGTGTTCTGCCCACTCTCCAACGGTTAGAGAGCTCCATCGCCAAGGGAACAAAGCGCCGTGACATCAGAACATTCTTCAGCTCTTGGCGCATATGTGTACATATGTGACACAAGGAGCATGAAGCTGATACAGGCAGAGATCTCGATTACAAGGTATGCTATAAACACGGACCAGGAAGATATGGAACTTCTTGAGGGTCAGTATAGGTACTATGTGATTGACAAAGCAGTCTCACCAGCTTCTCGTCGGTGGGAGCGTCGAGGGCAAGGCGTCCAAGCCTCAGATACAGATTGGATGAGTCCACATGCCGAAGCCCATGATATGGCGATCAGCAACTCGATAGCTGTCAGCGCTTTGTTCAGGGCTTTAGTACTTGGAAGTTTGGATCCGATCCCATCCAGATTCCTTGCCTGGAGAACATCTTCGGCCGATTTGAAACACTGCTCCAATCGCAGGATGATTATCAAAGTCCATGTATCTCTGAAGCTCATATCATCCCAAGAATCAAGACCAGTCTTCATACTCCTCATACTCCTCATTGGCAACTTCCCTGTATTTCTCGAGCACCTTTTCAATACCACTCCACGCCATAGCTCTCACCATGTCAAACGCGACGGCAAAGTCCTCGCAGAATCCTTCACCATGGTCTTTGTGTGGACAAAGATATGGCGGAGTTTCGTTTTCATGGTAAGCCTTCAACCACTTCAGAGCCCGATCCCATCCATGGTGGTCTCGAGTGACGAATGCCGTATTCCACATCACCTAGACGGTCAGGCTTGTTTGATACTGGCCGTAGTTACTCCAGAAGCCTTCGGGCTGCTTGAAGAACATCTTTGCAGGTCTGACATCGTATGCTCCGGTTTCGATTCTGAAGTTGTTTCGACAGTAGTACATGGATCTAGTTTCTTCGCGAATCTGGCGGCAGGTGCGAAGCAAGCCTGGCTGAGCGATATTGTTGCGGTGGATCGTAATGGAATGCTCTTCGACGAGCCCGTGTTCGTAGATCCGTTTTCGTAGCTCTGCGGCGAGTTCGAGTAAGCGGCAGCGCTTGTTCATCTTCGAGCTTGGCGATGGTGGCATACTGTACATAGGTCATCAGCGGTCTACTCAAAACGTAGTCAGCGAGGCTTGCTTGCCTGGAATTGTAGTCGCGCAGTAATACACGCGTTCTTGGAAAAGAGATGGGTGCAGTGAGGTCAACGTTTAAGCGAGATTAAAAGGACCTCGAACGGAAAATGTTGCGGAAAGCGCATTTCTTGGCATTCATGTGCAAATTGTGAACGAAAGTACTAAAGCCCAAAGCTGATGGTGTTATCAGTCCAACCTATTTCGAGGCGTTCGCAGAATCCAATGACCATGACCCATCACCCGTAATCCATGTCTCATCACGCGAAGTCCATCATCAACTCAAGCTCTGATGATCGCTCACTTGCTGATTGCCACCTTTGCACCCTCATCTTGGGCCCTACTTGCCTCCTTCTTGGTACTATCCTTCTCGATATCCCACATTGGAACTACCACCACGTTCACCAAGACCAGAGCAAGTAAAACCTTGATCGCACGACATCCGATGTCCATGAAGCCGTCGCCGAAAGGGCCTTGGTCTTTCAAGCGAGCCAGGCGTCGAGAGGTGCCGTGATAGCGGATTTGCATACTGGCGCCAGGTGGTGCAGGTCGTATGACTGGACCGACTCGAGAAGTGGGTGGAGGCGACAGTAGGGCTGGTCGGCTCACTGGTGGTCGAGTTGGGCGAAAGGAGGTCGTGGCAAATGCTGTGAAGTTGTTAGAATCAGATAGATCGTACCTGATATCAGCGACGTACCTCGCTTGGTTGCGTTGTGGCGAAGCATGATGGCGACTGTGAACTTGATACTGGTATTTAGTTTGAGTTTTGTCGATATAGCTTCCTTCGGCGTTTGATATTCTGTAGCGCTGTGAGTTGTCGCTGTTGTCTCGTGTCGATGAAATGTGGAACTCGCAGATCAGTGTCGCGCTTTTGATGCAAGTCAAGCAAACGGTGCAGCTTTGAAGCTTCACTAGCGTGGAAAACTAATCCTTGCTCGAATGTGAAGTGAGTGAAGTGGTGAATGATCTTTGATTCAAGCTTCACAACCGCGAATCACTTCTTTCATCATCAAACCCTGCGAGCGACCAGAAGTCCCCTCCCTATCATGATGCCAGTAATTCTAACGTCTATGCCCAAGTTCTAATATGTCTATCGTCTATGCCGTGTCGATTCCCATGACGCCATCGCTAAACCCATCGATTCGCAGAAGCTGTGGAATACTCTTCATCGCTCGGATTGAAACTCAATTCTTCTTCCAGCTCCACTCCATCTGCTCCTTGGTGACAGCATCGTAAGCGACGAAAGCTCCAGCTCCGGTAGCAACAGCCTTGACTGCAAGCTTGGTAGTAACTGGTGATTTCGTAGCCGTTGGCATTGCCTGGGTGGTGATGGTGCGGCGAGCGGCAGTGAATGCTAGAGATATGTCAGTGATTGCGATGAGTCGTTCCGCCCATCGAAAACATACCTTGCTTAGCGAAAGGCATTTTGTTGGCAGTAGCTGATTGGTGTGTTGATTTGATGGCGTATTGTCGTAGTCGACTTGGTTGGAAGTCGTTTGGAATTTTCGTGTTATCGAGGTCGAGATTGCAAGCGAAGGACGCGATGCGAGAGGTGTTGGTTTTTTATGTGATGAGAATGTAAAATGAAGTGTCGCACAACACTTTTTCGTTTTATCGCGGTGGCCCATGCATTGACTCAAACGGCAGGCAACGGGAAGGGCTGAGTCGGGCCGGCAGCCGAATTTAGAAGCGAGCGGTGGGATTGATGAAATCTCTTACCTCAACAGGACCCAACGACCCAACGACCCAACACTCACTGATAAGGAGAAACGGTAGAAACGACTGCCTGGGTCAGCCATATCTATCCCCAGACTGCTAACCTATGTGCACTTCTTGGCTTGCGACCGTTTCTTAGCGCACAGAGCTCGCCATCCTAGCGTGCTTCTCTCCATATGCGCGCTGTAAGCAGTGCACACGGTCACCTTCCTTCCTTACGCCTATTGACCCGCCCATACAATGCAACTCCTCGCTAATAGCATGCAATGAACGACCAGCATGCTCGCTCCCCTTGCTGATTCATCCAGAAGATTCTGCTTTGCTACGTATGGAGACGTACCTCCTCTGCTAGGACGCCATGATATCCTCGTCTCCATCGTCATCAATCGTGTTGTTGGACGCGTTTGGCGCATCCCACGTGAGATCCATCACGTCTGCTAGGTCGCCGTCTGCTCCTGCGCTATGCTTCTGGCGCTTCTGATGCTCGACGTACTCTTTCGTCAGCTGCAGTCGGCGGTCTGCATCGCGAATGAAGGTCACGAGATTCTGTATTCGCTCGGTTTGTGCTGCGAGGTCGATGTCGGTCGGTGCGGTCGATGTCGTATCGTGGAAGCGGAGGATCGCGTCGGTGCCGGAACCAGAGACACTGGCATTGAGGAAGCCGCCTCCAATCATTTCTTGAAGTTGCTGAAATGTTTCTCCCGGCTGCGCCTGGAGTAGTGATGCCACTCTGGTCACAGGAAGCGCGGCATAAGTCTTCTGCAAGTCGATGACGCGGTAGCGTTGAAGGGCGGTTACCACTTCGTTCACAAAGCGTAGGTTACCATCTTCCATCCAAACCTCCTGACCCGTTTGAATTTCAGCAACAAGCTTTTGACTCTCACGCTTAGAGAAGGCATCCGTCACAGCTTCGTATGGTCTAGAGCAGGCCTTCACATTCTTAAGAGTGGTCTGATCGAGGGTCTTCGGCTGTGGGTATTGCCTGCCTTCCGCGAGCAGGCCCAGTAGCAGCCATCTCTTGTAGGCTTCTACTTGCAGAGCGCTGGTGGCGTGCTGTTGTGATGGCGCCAGGAGGATGTACTCGAGGAAGAGACGCGCTCTGCTGTAGTTGCGCACAGCAATGTAGACTTGCGCACCAAGCAGGTAGTACTGCAGCACATCTGATGAATCGAGCTTCTCTGCGAATCCGCTCTTCTCCGTTATGAATGCGTTACTCAGCTCATGCTCTTCGCTGGGAGGCTCTTCAGGCACAATCTTCCAATGCTTCTGCGGATATGCGTAGATGTCGCGGTCGAGTATCGGTATGGCCTGACTGGGTACACCAAGCTTCAAACACAGTTCAAGGAAGGCGAGGTGATTGTTTGTGAAGGTACCTGCCGTTGGGTCGAGGCGAAGGATGGCGGTCGAGATGGAGCTCACGTCATCGGCCGGATGTTTGCCCAGGTAGTCGATGGTCCAGTCCAGCAACACGCGCCACTCGCTGCCCACATAGCGAACCTGTATTGGATCGAAAGTTGTGAGAAAGCCGACTGCATTGAATACGAGCTGATCGATGCGCTTCTTGTCCTTGGCGTTGGCCTTGATCAGTTCGGTCAAGCTAATCATGTAGGGAATGGAATTGACGGAAGGGTCGAGGAGTTCGATGAGTTCCTTCTTCTCATATTTCTTGGTCCATTGCGCTGGCTGAACCTTTCTGAGGTCTTTCAGATAGTGATTAATTTTGGTGTCGTACTGCTTAGGGGTGAGCGGCTCCTTGGAGTCCGGCGGAAACGATAGCAGCGTTTGCACGAGCTCGGCCATACTGAGCGCGATGGGAAGTGCGGAGTGGCGTGGCGTTCATCGGTTGGTGAATACCATGCTCGGAGGTTCCAATACAACCGACGCTCTATACTGTGCGCGGTAAGCGTGAGCTGTTGGCTATCGGGTCGCAGAGATGTTGTTGCGGTGAGGCAGCCAGAGACGGCGATGATGGAGCTTGTGATGGTGGTCGGGCCGGCTTGACGGCGTAGCAGAAAGCTAAAATGTGGGGCAGCGCGCCAGCGCAAGGCACCAATTCACTTTCCAGGCAACACTGAGCTCTCGACCTCCACTTCGGTACCCTGACTTCGCTGGCGATCATTGCACAGATTGTGAATGGCCGTAGACATGTCTTTCTCAGCCTGATCCCAAGTACTTTCGAAACCAATGAGAAGAAGCCAAGATGGCTCCTACACAGCACACCAGTCGCTACCGAGATCAAGTCCTCTCGAGAGGCAAGGTTGAGTCCCTGATAGCGGAAGGCAGAAAGATCGTCATTGTAGATGGAGTGGTGCTAAAGGTTGATGCATGGCTTCCATACCATCCTGGTGGCGACAAGGCTATTCTGCATATGGTTGGAAGAGATGCCACCAATGAGGTCAAGGCATTCCACTCGCAAGAGACGCAGGCGTTCATGCAGAAATACCGCATCGGCAGAATCGAGGGTCAATGGCAGGACTTCGTTCCTCCAATCCAGGGCGGATCGTTTGGAAGAGACGACAACCAGAAGACAACTTCCGTAGAGAAGCAGAGCGAGGCGATATGCGAGGATTCATCGGAGAGCTCGCAGGAGCCTTCGCCGCTTTTCGAGCCTTCAGAGCACCGCACAGCTGGTCTTCGTAGACGGAGAGAGAGCGACGATGCGGCGAGCGAGTCCTCGGCAACGTCACTCGATACACTGGCCATTGGTGAGCCTGCGTTAGAGGCCGAGAAATCGTATCCAGGAGACCAGCGAACCCAACAGGAACTACAGCACGACTTGGAGACCTTTCCCAGTCTGGACGCGGGCACACAGTACGGCATCATCGACAAATATCAGGACTTGGACCAGCGTCTCAGAGCAAAAGGACTGTACGACTGCAATTACTGGGCCTACGCCGTCGAGGGACTCCGCTACACCGCTCTTGGCCTTTTAGCATTCTTCTTTCTCAAGATTGGCTGGTATCCCATCTCCGGCATGTTTCTTGGTATGATGTGGCATCAGCTCGTCTTCACCGTCCATGATGCAGGACATATGGGCATCACACACAACTTTCATATCGACAGCTGCATCGGCATCATTGTCGCAAACTTCATTGGCGGCCTTTCATGCTGCTGGTGGAAGCGCAACCATAATGTACACCACATCGTCACCAACAGCGCCGAACACGACCCAGACATACAGCACATGCCTTTCTTCGCCATCTCGCATCGCTTCTTCGAAAGCTTACGAAGCACATACTACGACCGGGTCATGACTTACGATCCGGTGGCGAAGGTCATGCTCCAGTACCAACACTACCTCTACTACCCGATCCTGACCTTTGGGCGTTTCAACTTGTACGTGCTCAGCTGGCAATATATCATCATGGGTCAAGGTCCTCGCAAAGGCCCAGCCTGGTGGCATCGATATCTGGAAATGGCTGGCCAGATCTTCTTCTGGTACTGGTTCGGCTACCTCACTGTCTATAAAAGCATCCCAGGCGGCTGGAACAGGTTCCTTTTCGTCATGATCAGCCATGCTGTGACCATGCCCGTACACGTACAAATCACTCTATCCCATTTCGCCATGAGCACTGCGGATCTCGGCGTGGCGGAGTCCTTCCCACAGCGCATGCTCCGAACCACAATGGATGTCGATTGTCCGGAATGGCTAGATTTCTTCCATGGAGGCCTGCAATTCCAAGCTGTACACCACCTCTTCCCACGCATGCCCAGACACAATCTGCGGAAAGCTCAGAAGTTAGTCATGGAGTTTTGCGATGATGTCAAGATTCCTTATACGATCTATGATTTTGCGGAGGGCAACGGTAAAGTCATCGGACGACTCGAAGATATTGCAAAGCAAGCGAAGATCATGTCAAAATGTCAGAAAGCCGCTTTCAAGGATGTTGTGGAAGGGCATTAGTGATTAGCTTTCAGCATAGCTATGGTGCAATATACCCATTGATGATCATTGAACATACAAGTGGTCATTTCTCATCAGTCGTGACACATTTACTGGACATCTCATTAACCTTCCCAAGCAGCCTCGATACCGGCCCAATACCTCTCTTGACCAGCGCTCCACCTCACTGGCGTTGCCTGCTTCGAAGACTTTTCGTCAACCACGAAATTCCTGCTTTCCTCGTCCTCGAGGTCTATCGTATTTCGAACAAACATTACATCCTGCCCCGGGAAAATCCACTTCCTTCTCGCCTTGCCACAGAATCCGTCCAGGCCCCGTCGCACATCTTCGCTCAAAGGTTCGGAGAGCCAGAGAATCAGTGTAGCCCAGATGTGAAGAAACGGCGCCAGGAGGACATTCAATAGAAGCGCGGGATTGGTCCAAATGCCTCTTAAACTCGGTGCAATTGTGATAGGTACAGACTCCAGGATTAATGATTTGACAGGAAGGAATTGAGATTTGCGGAGGTGATAGGCCTCGAGAAGGGTGCAGACGTTTCGTGCGGAAGAGTTGCCGAAGATGTGGATAAGTGTGTTCCGTCTTTTTAGCGTTGACGCTTTCTCGCTGAGTCCCAAGAGATTGTCTAGGACTGCATTGATTGATGAAGATTGGTTGTGGTGCAGAAGGAGGATTTCCGAAGTCGGGTAGAGGGTTGAATAGCCTTGCACATAGTATTGTATCTGCTCCGGTTGTGCATGTGGCCAGAGTCCTAGAATGACATGATCTGACAAGTGGCTCTCTGCACACTCGATCACTGGTGTCTTCAAAAGCTCAGGTCCAGTTCCATAGCCTGAGTCTGTGGAATCGAAAGAACCTCTGGACGTCGAGAAGCCCATCGCCTCGGCTGCGAGGCGCCGATAACCTGAGCGCGAGTGTACGAATTTATTGTTCGTGCCTGTGCCACGTTTCCAGGATATGTTCTGGTCAATACAAACACCATCATCGTCGTGTCACCAAAGGCGGCAGCAAACAAAGATATAAGTGTTGTGCACCCAGTCAGCCATTGTGTAGCGAGCTTGCCCGCCACTTCTGGCGATCCCAAGCCAGCGGGGCTGGCTGGACTGCGTTCGAGCAACGGCTGTGGCTGGTAGTCCTATGGCTTCTGGGCGTGGCAGCCATCGCGATTTTAGAACTGCCTTCCTTCGACGCTAGAAGAAAGCACGCGATCGAGAACAGGGCGAGCGTGGTAGACTTGGATGGAGAGCATGGTGCGTTGGGAATAATGTAGCAGCGAAACGCATGCGGAGTTGGCTCGAGGATTGCGCCTGGCGAAAAGCCACCGCATGTTCGGGGCCAGAGAGATACGTTGATGGAAGTCAGCTGGGTAGATGGCGTATCGTGCCACTTGATGCAGGCAGCCAGAAGCGAGCCTATATCAGAGGCCGCAAGCGGTGTTTGATGGAGTGGTGCAGTTAGAGAGGGAGATAAGGGTCGGGGACGCTGGGCAAAAGCAACAAGAGCTGCCAAGACACGAGGCACCATGAGGCAGCGCAGCTACTGTACCTGCCTTATTGCACGCTGGAGCGAGATTGGCGATGGCACGAGCTTTCTTGCGCGCTATTCACTAGGTAATGTACACGTATCATCCGTCCATATCAGTGAATCACGCACTGTTATGCCCACAGATATGTTCTTTGCGACTCGCCTGCTTGTCGAGGGAGCATATAACTTGATACTGAGTCCCTCTGAAAAGGCCTGGAGGGAGGGCCCTGGAAAGTGTCCATATTTGCGACTGGAGGTCGATGCCGTCCCAAGAAGCATTTGGCTCTCTCCTGACCTTGGATCAGAGTCATTGCAGCATAGAGATTGAGCCACTATGCATGGCCTGAATAGTCCCTCTTCCATATGGTGTCGAATTTCTCCTTGTCTATGGCAAAGTCGCGCATGTATTCCCATTCCATCTCATGCATCTTCTTGCCGCACAACACAAGGCTGTGCAATGGCTTCCCCAGATCCGCGCTTGCAAGCTCTTTTAGTGTGCCTGCTACGACCTGCTCACCCTCACTTCCCAATCTTGCGACACCTACGGCCAACTTTTCATTGCCGCATACATCTCCTTGCCTCTTCTCTTCGACTTCAAGCATCTGGTCCGCACACTGCGCAACTGTCATAAATCGAGGAGGTTCGTATACAATCTTCCCTCGTGCAAGAGCCTGCAAATTTGGCTCCTTGACCTTGATATCGAGCAAGACCAGCGTGTGCAGTCCAAGTCTCGCATTCTCCGCGATGCGATCGTAGAAGCTGTCTGGCCTCCAGTCGTCCGTGAAGAAGACCATTGACACTGTCTGGCCGAAGTGATACAGACTCAATCCTGTCGCACCTACAGCAGTCAAGATGCTCGCGTTGGGCAGCGTCCTGTACGGGATGGGCGGATCATTCTGTCGACAGCGGAGGGCGAAGTCTGTGTGAGTCGTCGCACTGAACGGGTCACCCACTACCAGGAATGCGATCTCTTTCTCATGTGCGCCTTCCAGAATGTCGTCTGAACGAGACTCGACCATTTCCCGGTCTGCAATTATGATTGGGCGGCCATAGTAAGCTTCCTACTGCAGGTAAGAACATCAGCAGGTTGTCGAGAGGGAAACGACGATCAGCGCACCAGAACGTCCTTGTCGACCAGCAGAACAGCTGTGTAGGCTTCGAGGTACACGCGCTCGGCTGTCCGCACAATCTCGAGCCCTTTGACTGAGATATCTCGCTCGTCAGCCAGGCCCAGGCCGATGATGTACAGCATGTTGGCGCGAGTAGTTAAGACGCGCAAATTCTGAGCACAATACCGTCCACCAAGCAATGGCCAAGGAAGTTTCTGAACGGAATCGTGAAGTGGAGAAATGGAAGGGTCGAAATTAAGGTTCAGCCTCATCCGTCCGTTATCGATAAGTCCAGTAGCTGGCGCTCCTTGCACCTCCCCTTGACTTCTATCCGAGCTTGTAATATCAATCATCGTATGAATCTGCAGCACATCAATTCTAATCCCACACCGCTCGGAAGCTCCAACCCTTACTGGCTCAGCAAAGTGCGCTGCCACCATGGCGGACAACAAGGCGAAATACCGGACTGAAATCCAGCAGGTGCGTATTAGATTTCCCATGTCCTCATGCAGCCCAACAAAAGCCTTCTCAGCAAGAGCAAGGGCAAGAGCAAGAGAGAATCTGGTAATCACCACCGCTCGTCACGCCAAATTCTGGAGAAGGGACGGGACACGATGTCGTTACCAGGTCGTCGCTGGTGTTGGCCCATTTCAGACGCCTCTGACTGGCAGGCCGTATTCCGTATTCCATCGCAAACACGTCTACAGTGGCACAGCACAGCTATTCATCCGTATACGCTATTCTTGAGCTACCAGTCTTCCATCGGACGTCCTCAGCAGCAGAATACGAACGCCATCTATAAATTCTACCAAGCCTCTTGACATCTGGGTTCGGTGCTGGAAGACATCACATACCCACGATCACATACTCTGAGAAGGCGAACATTCATCTTCAACCCGCTCAAGAAATCAGATCTATCTCGTACAAGCTCGTTCAAACACTACGTTATGGATGACAATCCCTTCTCGGCACTTCGTTACGACGACGACGATGACGACGACATCACGAAGCGCCTCGAATCTCCATCTCGGGGCACCAACATCAGCGTCTATCACAATAGTCAGGAGTGTGTCGACCGTCACTGCCTGATCTGTGAACACAACAACGACTGGGATAGCCAGCGGTTCCTACCAATCCACAGTCAGTGGAAGTGCTTGCTTGAGAGTTGCTTCTGTCAAGCAGACGATCGCTACATACCTCTGGCCTCTGGTCCAAATCCCACGTCCTCTTCATCAAGCGTAGCACCATCTCGTGAGCTAGCAACAGACTTGAAGGCTCTGGTTGAAGAGGCTATTCCCGAATTCAACGGGGTACGATGCATTGGCCCACATAATCAGAGCGGACCCTTTCTCTGCGTCGAATGTAAAGGCGTATTCTACGACGTTCAATCTCTAGCTAAGCATCACTGGGAAGAGAGAGGCGAGCGTCGCTGCTACAACATAAATTGCATCCGGAGCGAGCTGGCTGTGAAGGACTCGCGCCCGCACGAAGCTTGGGAATGTCTCTCTCGGAGTGCAGAGTTTTTGAACTACTTTCCTATACCGCATGAGAAAGAAGGCTTCTACAATTGGATGTACTATCCAGACCATTACGAGCCACCATACGATGAGGTCATGAAATATCCCTTAACGGGCGTGCACGAGTGCCCGATCACGTATTGCAAGGACAGATGGAATGGCTGGAATTCCTGGGATGATGTAGCCGATCATCTGGAAATTGTGCACGAATCTCGGCCCTGTACACGGGAAGGATGCACGCTTAGTAGCAACAGAGCGGAACGCCACCATTCTCCAAAAGACTGTCTAGTGCTCTTTGAGAGCCCTGAACAGAAAGCGATGCGTCTCGAGGAGGCCTCTAGCACCAGAGGCCCTGTTCGCACAAATCCCCAGACTCAACTCGCCGCAGCTAGGGATGGAAAACCAACTTCTCAGACACTGCCAGCAAACACCCTGGGTCAGAAATCTAAACGTCGAGAGTCAGGGACAGACACCATGAATGGAAGGCCTGACAAGCGAGCCAGCCAAGAAAGCCCATCAAACGCACTCGTCGGCCAACCGGATGCATCTAAGATCTCGGGGAGTACTTGGAACATAAACGGCAAGAAATCGACAGCTGTTCGTCACGCCACTAAGGATGGTTGTGAGGAAGGCTGTGGGTATCTGAACAACCAGCGGAGGGAGAAAGAAGGAAAGGCTCGCCGAGGGCGACCACGCAAAGATGAAGTGGCAAGAAAGGACGGTCCGTCAAAGAATCAGAATCGGCAGAGGCATGAACAGCCACAGAATGAGCCGGCTGCATAGAGTCGGCAAGCTCTTCTACATGCTGTCGCTTCAACAGAGCCACGCGTACCAAGGAAGAGGCTCGGCTTTCTGGACTGAAAGGTTGATGCAAAGAGCAGAGGGCAGTGACAGCTGGGGGCCAGCAAGACGCGCTCATGGACGGATGGCCTTCTGACGCACAATATCCGTCGCTTGATTCATTCTCTTCTGCTAGCTGCTGGCTATCACACATTCGTTATTATAGTTCATCCACTGACTTTGCTTTTCTCCGTTAGATGATGTTTGTTTCAGGTGAAACGGGAGATATTTCCATCGAAACGACCAGCATGATTGAGAGTATTGTGCAGCAACAGGTGATGGAAATGCTCAGGCGGGCAACGGAACTCGCAGCTCGCCGCGGCGTTCGTACCATCAGCACTGACGATCTCATTTTTCTCATTCGCCACGACAAAGCCAAGGTGTCACGACTTCGCACATTCCTGTCGTGGAAAGATGTAAGGAAGTCGGCCAAGGATAGCGATGACAAGGGAGGCGGTGGAGCGGACGCGGGAGGTGTGGACGAGTTCGACCTCGCGGGCAATGACCCAGGCTTAGGCGTTGGTCCATCGGTCGGCACTCGCAACAATAAGAACAAAAAGGCCAAAGTCGGACTGCCGTGGGATGTGAGCAGCTTCTACAGCGAACAAGTTCCCGAGCGCGAAGACGAAGAAGACGAGGAAGAAGAGGAAATGAATGCGGCGACATTGCAACGTCTGAAGCAAGCCGACGAGCGCACCAAAGGCATGAATGCGGAAGAGTACCTCCATTTCTCCGAATGTCGGCAAGCGTCGTTCACATTCCGAAAAGGCAAGCGATTCCGGGAGTGGGCTGGGTTTGGTGTGGTGACTGATAGCAAGCCGAACGACGATATCGTTGATATTCTCGGGTTCTTGACATATGAGATCGTCACTTTGCTCACGGAGGAAGCTCTCAAAGTGAAAGCGGCCGAAGACGCTCTCAAGCGCGAGAGTGGTGGCGATGAGGAGAAGCGAGGGCGGAAGCGAAGACGGGAGCCTGGCCTCTTCGATCCACCGGAGGAGGCGAGGACTCCTGTGGGCCCCAAGCATATCCAAGAGGCGTTCAGAAGATTACAGAAGCCCGAGGCGAAGGCGAGGTACATGCATCACATACCCAAAGGCACTTGGCAGAGACCACTGAAATTGATCTGAAGGGAAGCAGGCATGGGCCATGCTGAGAAATGGCCACGAGGATATTTGTTTGAGCGAAGGCGTTGGTGAGCGCGATCATGGCTGGTAGAACGCTGGATGCACTCGGAAGGGGTTGATCAGTGACGGAGTTCTGGCGTTGGTATTGTTTGTCTACAGATGAATGGTTCTCAAGGTCCACTTCCTCCACGCCAAGTCACTGCATATTTGGCGCAGCCTTGCCACCCGAAAGCACTGTGAGGCTCGGCTTGGCATCGACGCGGGAAGAAGAGTAAAAATTCACGTGCGAGGTGCGACTCGTGCGGTCGGCGGCAAGGATGTGGCTGTCGCGCGTGCGGACTGAGCTCCGGCGCAGAATCATTCGCTGATACTGTATAGTGTCCCGACTCCCGAGCGGCCACCAGACCCTGCGCGGCCAGGATGGATGTTCCAGTTCTGGTCTAGTCTGCTGTAGCGTGGGGATCCCGTCTGCTCTTCCTGCTCGGCCTCGTCCTCTGCACGCGCAACAGCCACACGCACTCCCATCCCATCCCATCCCATCCCATCCCATTGCCGAATCCACGACTCCTCGCCCTCCGCGACCAACGCCCTTCCGACTCACAATATACGCCCGACCCCTTCCGTAACATCCACACTCATATCAATCTGTCCTGCGCCGACATCACGAGCAGCTGCCCACGACCGTCACTCGAAATAGTTCATCGTCGCACGTAGGAATGGCATGCTAGGTGACTCGGGGCCATTGGTGGCTCGCCAATGGCGGCCGATCATGGGCAGTCGGTCGCTCGCGTGTCTGGCGTGGGTAGAGTAGACCAGTGCTTGCTGCCGAACGGGTCGTGCGCTTTTCGACACCTGAGCGCCGGCGCAACGGCACCGACCTGCGGGTGTAGGAGATTTTGGCTGGATACCGGGCACGCGGCGACGGGTGATGGTGAAAGAGCGTGGTGCTTTTGTGGCCACCACGCCTGCTTCCACGACTTTGCAGGTGGAAGTGCGCAGCATCATGCTCATGCTCATGCTCATGCTCAGCTGCTTGCCAATGGGCCCGCGGGAGGTGCTGATGCAGAACAGCCGACTCGGCCTCAAAGCCAGCAGAATGCATTCATTGCACCTACGTGGAGCGAACTGATCCGAGAGCCCGTGATGCCGTCCTCAGGAGCTGGAGTGCAGAACAACGAGACCACCAATAGCTCCACGACGGGCCTGGGAATCCGAAATGCATCCCAAACAGACTCTATCAATCTCCGGCTTTGGAATGCGTTGAATGCCTTCGCGCGACAGCAGGATGGTAGCCATGCAAGCTCGAATCTGCCATCGACTGCAGTGCCTAGCGTAGCAGAGGGAGAGGGAGCTCCTGCGCGCCATACGTCTGCACATGTCCAGCCCAGAGCCATGGGACCACCTCTCCATATTCCTCATGATCCTTTCACTGCCAATCCGAATGGACAATATAGCGCGACTGAATTGGCTACGCCTAGCGTGCAATCCCGCACTCCAGACTTTCGAGCGGCGACTGCTCTCCCATCAATCGCTCGTCCTAGCACGCCACTGAATCAGCCCCGACGCGCTCTCTCGATTGGCGATGCGGCGCCAACTGCCAGGGAAGAGGCTCCTACAGTGCCGGACGATGACAACTGTCGAAGGCGGCCCGGAAGGCCACTCAGCGCCGGGCCTTCGCTGTCGATCCAGGAAATGTGCAACACTATTGAGAATTATGGACGCCGACTCAGCCTTCTTGAAAACATCTCTTTCAATCATTTGCCATGTGATGAGGTACACGACCAGTTCCAACTCATGGATGGCCGTGTTCTGGATCTTGAGCAATGGCGAGCCGAACAAGAGAACCATCATAACCACGACGATACCGAGGAACAGATCCAGGCTGCAAACGATCGACTCGATGACCTTGAGAATTGGCGTACTGAGTATCTTGCTGCGCAGCTAGGAGACCAGTCTGATTCTCCAGAGGCGTCGAGCAGCAGGCGCAAACGACTCTTGCCGGACGCAAGCTCTTTTGAGTCCGACGGCTCTATCGACTTGAATGCTGCCGCGCATACAGAAGCTATGGTTCTCGCAGCTATCGCTGCCAGCGCAGAAACTGGCCCACGCATCGACGCCCTCGAATCCAGGCTTTCCGAGCTGGAAGGCGCTGCTTTACCATCCTTTGCTCGACCGTGGAGTGTACAAATCGTGCTCCTGCCATTTGGTCGAAATCTACCTGGTGTCTGGTTCACGAGCGAGCAATCAACGCAGCACTCCATGCGGTCTGCCATACATACCTCCGAAGACTGGCCTGCTGCACTTGAAGCTCCCAAGACTTCTTTCAGATCAGAGGGCGCCGATGGAGCGTGGACCACCACTTCGATCGAGGCCTGGGCCAATTCTACCCAAGATGAGTGGCTCTCACCCAAGGCATGTGGCCCGACTGGCACTGTCTTCCAAAGACTTGCGAGTCGCGGCTTCGTTCATGATGTGGAGTTCTTCTCGCCAGACGCAGCACATATCCTCAGTGTAGTCTCTGAAGCGTTCGATGGCGTACTTTCAGATCAAACCAGTGTTCCAGGGGCCATGCTAGAGAAGTATCACGGTCTTCGAGAGCGATTTATACCTTTGCGAAAGATCCGCAAGTCGTCTCGTTTACGATTTCTCGCACCTCCTGAAATGGTCACTCCAACCGCTTGGACTGCCGAATTTCTGGAATCTAGCGTCTTCATGAAATCAAATGGCGAGAGAAGGCTTTACCTCACCAGTCCAGATGGCTATTTGCAGCCGCCTCAATCTGGATGGAATTGGCAGACCTTGCGCACCCTCCCATTATACGATGCAGATGGCGAGCTGCAGGACGCGCAAAATGCAGGCGGGATCGTCGAGGCATGTTGGAGTTATAACGATCGTCTCGATACAGCAATGAGCTTGCACTCTTCGTTCGAAGGAGCTGGCTCACCTTGGCACCACCGACCGACAAGTCAAGAGCCAGAGCATGTTGATCGAGATGCGGACGATGCTATGTCGAGAAATGCAGTGCCACAGCACCACGACTGTTCAGTTTCGCTTGCAAGTGCTGCCTCAGTACAGATCATTGGATGCAATACTTTACCCAAGCGGCGTGTCGCTTCTTTTGAAGCTCGCAGCCCTTCCAAAGAACAAGAGGAGCGAGCACAGTACGTGTTCAAGCGGCGCCGCATCTCATCTTCACCAGAGCTGGACCGTCGTGGCTATAATCTGACACCGCGATACAGCCGGGAGCCGCCATCGCCATTCACGTCTGACGAGATTGGACCCGGGCGAGGCAGCCAAGCCGCTAGCAGCCGGGCAAGAGGGACTACTCCCTTTGCATACGCTACTCCTCATTCTCACTTCGACTCTCGAGGCGGAGACGGCGAAACTGAAGCGGACGACGATCTGCCTCTTGCGCAGAGCGAAAATGGTGATTGGGAAGGGCTCCCAGATGGACCAACCACATCGCCTGTTTCTTCCGAGGGCAGTCGCAATCAAGCGGTGATTGGGAACAGAATCGACGAGGAGGGCCCCGAGCAAGACTTCACCGTTGACGAGGGTTGAATAGAGCATCGCGAGCGCAGCGCACGCGGGAGGATCTACAGTAGAAGGCGCATGGATCATGGAAGGCATTCGGAATACAGGAAGCCTATTTGGACGTCGGAGACAGGGCCTATGTTGATGGGGCAACAGCAATATTTGAACAGCGCAACTCGATACCGCGCGGCCATTTGCCAGCGATGTAGAATGATCTCTGGTCATTGTGGGATGGGAATAATGGATAGAATAGCTCTCCAATCCGAAAACTTGGAAATATCAGCCGCTCTCCAAGAGTCGAGCCAAAAGCACAGGACCGTGGCAAAGCGGCAGTGTGCAAATGCAGCAACTGCTACTCCTGCAATCTTCAACACCTGAAATATCGACCAATACATGAATACGGACAGCTGAATCCAATTCACTCGTTGAGTCCCCCCGTACGGAGATACTGGGAAGATGGCACTGGCCTCCCCGGCGGTGCTGCTTCGAGCTTGCCATTCATTCTGGCATAACTGCTGCCTCGCTTGTTAACGTTACGCCAGCACCGATCTTTCGCAACAGGATAGCCCGAATGCTTTTCGCCTGCCGTCTCAGCGCCAAAATGCCAAGGAACCTGGACAAGCCTTGCGTCAAGCTAGTGGTCCAGTAGTGTTCCACGCTTCAATGGCAAGTTTCTCCGCCAGCATGCCCGCCTGTCGCTCAGCAGGCGTACCGTCCTTGGAATAACTTCAGCCAAGCTCCGGTCATCGTCCGTTGGCCTCCGGCGCCTGAGCGTCACCTCCACATGCCGGTCCTTGCTCTCGGCTTCCTCAGGCGGTGGTGAGATGAACTCGATTTGAGCGACATCTGATACGGGAGCCAGCCAAGGCGATTCTTCAGCTGCACTACAGTAAAGGACAAGGCTCGGATGCCGGGTGCCGGGTGCCGTCGTTTATTCAAGGATCTGCTGGGCTTCCCCGCAAACTGTATGCAGTAGTCTGTTGAGGTGTGGAGAGAGTTCGAGGTGTGTGGGGAAGGGTACAGCCGTTGCGAATCCGCCAGCACTCGACGCGGTCTTTGGCACATGGCATGCGGCAGCGCTGTCGTCCAATAATCCTCCAACACTCGCGGCCTGTGCCTCCTCGGGAACCTCCAAGCTGCTCTGTCCCCACTGGTCGTGGCGTATGCGGATGCAGAACAGCGGGCCTGGTGGGAAAAGAGTTGCGGCGCCACGAACGCACACGCTGCCTAACCTTCACGTCTTTCCGCATTGTAACGACTTCAGGTCTTGAGGAATTCATGCTCGCATGCAGGCTGCTTGCTGGTATGGCTGGTTTCGATGCAGAGGCCGCTCGCCTGGTGCCTTATATCGAAGACGGATCCGAGCTGCTGGTATACGTGGCCATTATTGGAGCTCAATGAGCACACGGTATGCAGTACACGTGTGTTAGACAAGGCGGAGCGGATGTGCAGGCTTCTGTTTTACCAGTCGCTGTCTCAACCCTGGTCAAGCTCGATCGGATTTGGCGGTCGTGCTCCATTCTGCTCCCTGGTCAACTGCATTAATGCCTGCAATGCTAGGTTCTCCGCACCTGACATTATTCTCTGGTGGCTTGGACAAAGACTTTCGAGTCCAACTGCTGTTTCGCCTGCTGCGACCCTCACTATCCCGGCCGGAAACAGGAATAGGCCGTCATGCCTGGCTCGCTCGCTGTATTCCACTCCTCTTTCACGCGTGGCGTGAGCTCAGCTCGTAGGACCAGCAACAGCCTGGAGGATCTCTTCTCATCTAACAGACTCTTAGCATCCTTGCATTAGTGAAGTGGGATTGCTGTCTTACTTCCTCTCTTCCGAAGCACCTGACTGTGGAGTATGCGGGGACCTGGTGTTGATATACTGTCTTGCTGCTCACTCACTGTGAGAGACAAGATCAGGACTATCCTCCTCGATCCCACTCATTGTCATAACACACCACCACCGACCCCTACCAAACGTCAGCAAGAGTTTGAACGGGCAAAAAGTTGCCCAACATGACGATCCCAGACGAGGTTGATATCATTGTGTGCGGTGGAGGATCATGCGGGTTCGTCCGCTGGGCATTGGAAGCATTATTATTGTTGGCTTGACTGACAAGATGTAGTTGCGTCGTTGCTGGCCGTTTGGCCAACCTGGATCACAGCCTCCAGGTCATGCTCATTGAAGCTGGAGAGAACAATCTCAACAACCCATGGGTCTACCGCCCAGGTATCTTCCCACGCAACATGAAGTTGGACAGCAAGACTGCCTCCTTCTACTACTCTCGTCCATCCGAATGGCTCTCGGGCCGTCGTGCGATCGTTCCTTGCGCTCACATCCTCGGTGGTGGTTCGTGGCCCCTCATGTCACTCCCAGGCGAGAGAGAAAGCTAAAGAATCGTGAAGGCAGCTCAATCAACTTTATGATGTACACTCGTGCATCGGGCTCCGACTACGATGACTTCCAAGCCAAGGGCTGGACCACCAAGGAACTCATTCCTTTGATGAAGAAGCGCGAGACATACCAGCGATCCTGTAATAACCGGGACATCCACGGTTTTGATGGCCCAATCAAGGTCTCTTTCGGCAACTACACCTATCCAGTCATGCAAGATTTCTTGCGAGCCGCTGAATCCCAGGGCATCCCATTCAGCGACGATCTCGAAGACTTGAAGACCGGCCACGGTGCTCAGCACTGGCTCAAGTGGATCAACCGCGACACTGGTCGTCGAAGTGACTCTGCACACGCATACATCCATAGCACACGACAACACTACGAGAACTTGCACCTCGTCTGCAACACAAAGGTCGACAAGGTCATTCTCGAGGGCAACCGAGCAACTGGTGTGCGAACAGTCCCAACGAAGCCACTCCACCCTAACGAGGACCACTCCCGCGTCTTCAAGGCCCGCAAGTTTGTCATTGTGAGCGGTGGCACCCTGAGCTCCCCATTGATCCTCCAGCGATCTGGTATTGGTGACAGCCAGAAGCTCCGAAAGGCTGGCGTCAAGCCAATCGTCGATCTGCCAGGTGTTGGCCTCAACTTCCAGGACCACTACCTATACTTCTCACTTTACCGTGCCAAGCCATGGACTGACTCGTTCGATGACTTCGTACGGGGCGACCCAGAGGTGCAGGCGAAGGTCTTCAACCAATGGGTAAGTACCTCGAACTGTCTCTGCATCACTCAGCCAAGCGAGACCTGCAACGCTCGTGAGATCGGACACGGTAGTTCAGTCTCAGCTCGAGCTTGCGGAGTGGCACGTCACTTTCAAACCATGTGCTGACCCAATTACCTCTATAGGAAATCAACGGCACCGGGCCATTGGCGACTAACGGTATCGAGGCTGGTGTCAAGGCCCGACCGTCCGCTAAGGAGCTCGAGGAGATGAAGTCTTGGCCATTCCCAGAATTCATTTCGGGCTGGGACTCATACTTCAAGGACAAGCCAGACAAGCCAGTCATGCACTGGGCTGTTGTTGCTGGTTGGTTCGGTGACCACATGCATATTCCACCAGGTGAGTTTTCCCTCTAGCTCCGAGGCTGGGGTTGTGATGGGAGACACTGGCTTTCCACCTCAGCCCCAAGCCTAGGAGCGGAGTTCGAGCTTTGTACACTTGCTGACGTTGGTGTCCTTCGCTCTAGGCAAATTCTTCTGCATGTTCCACTTCTTGGAGTACCCATTCTCTCGTGGCTTCACACACATCGTCAGCCCCAACCCATATGAGGCACCAGACTTCGACGCTGGCTTCATGAACGACCGCCGTGATATGGCACCAATGGTTTGGGGATACATCAAGTCCCGTGAGACTGCCCGCCGCATGGACGCCTACGCAGGTGAGGTTGTCGACAAGCATCCATTCTTCGCCTACGACTCTCCAGCTCGTGCCCGCGACATGGACCTCGACACCACCAACGCCTACGCCGGACCGAACCACATCACCTCCAACATCCAGGTCGGTTCCTGGACCGTGCCCAAGCTCAGTGGCAAGGCGCCCGACACTGCTTTCCTCAACAGCTCCCAGCAGACCGTCCAGGAGGACCTCAAGTACAGCCGCGACGATTTGCTCGCCGTCGAGGAGTGGGTCAAGCGCCACACCGAGACGACCTGGCACTCTCTTGGTAAGCATCGCTTCCGGACCATACCGTCATCTATGCTAACGTGGTGTTCTTCCAGGTACTTGCTCGATGGCGCCAAAGGAGGGCAACTCCATTGTCAAGCACGGTGTGCTCGACGAGCGCCTCAACGTCCACGGCACCAAGGGCCTCAAGGTTGCCGACTTGTCGATCTGTCCAGACAACGTGGGCTGCAACACATATTCCACTGCTCTGCTGATCGGCGAGAAGTGTGCCGTCTTGACGGCAGAGGATCTCGGCTACACTGGCCGTGCTTTGGACATGAGGGTTCCAGAGTACCACCACCACCGCGAGGTTGTTGGCCTCTCCAAGCTTTAGGCATGAGATGGTGGTTGCCGGGTGTGAAAAGTCTCCACGGTTTTAATGAGATTGTGTTACCTACGTGTAGTAGTTCGTGTGACATATTGACGATGGATGATGTTGCGACTCGCTTTCCTCTTTTCTCATTCCTCTCGTTACACTCGCTACGACTGCAATTTCCTTGAGACGCTTAGTAGTGTGCTCTCGAGAGAGAGTGCATGTAGGTAGGTAGGGTAAGGTTGTAACAAGCGTGGCGGTAAAAGTTATTTTGAGGACAGCTACGAAATATGATTTTTCGAATAGGTAAAACTCGTCTTTCGAATAGCTAAAAAATATCTTTCGAATAGCTAAAATTTATCTTTTCAACAGCTAAAGAATGTCTTTTTCAACATCTTTCGAATGGCGAAAAGATATTCTTCGTCTCTATGATATTCCGGGCAGTCCACGGTCATGGTCATGACGGGAACATCCTTCACGTCGAGATCAACTTCATGATAACTATTGGGTTCGCGAGACAAATCGGTCTGTGACGGCAATGCCTTGGATGGTGTTTGAATATCTATCACTTCTTTACGCCAGTCTTCTCCTTGGCCGCCTCAAGCGCTTTCATCTTCTCTCTCATACTGCGACTGCCTCCAAGCTTAGGTCCAGTGGATGCCGGTGCTGCGCTTTTGGTAGTTGCAGACGTAGAGGATGGCTTGCGCCTGCGTTGCATCTCCATGTCAGCGAGAAACCGAGCCTTGAAAGCTCGAGCAGCTGCCTCATCATGATCCAGCCCATCGTCGCTATAAGTTTCCGCCTTCGACTGAGCCTGGTCGTACATGGGGACTTGGCCTTCTCGGAAGATTTGATCAATCATATCGTCGCGAACGACATCGTCTTCGCCCCTCTTCGGTTGTCTGCGCATGGCCTTCTGCTGCTTGCGTTGGGCACGCGTCAGATAGTCCTTGTTCCGCTCTGCGTGGGTTAATGGGGTCTTTGGCTTAAATCTGGCCGAGCTTTCTCCCTGCTCTGGTCCGAGGATTTTGCTTTCAAGGTGCATATTATCGTCATTTGTTTTGGGGCCTAATGTTGCCTCAGGTGAACGCAATTCAGCCAATTTCGAGTCTACGAATGCCGTCCTACGCTGTTAGCACTGATACCGGAATAGATGGTGATCTCGTCACATGCACGTACAGGTGCTTATCTTCGATCACTTCAGCTTTACCCATCGGCTTAACGAAGCGATCGGCCTGCGCAGCTGCGGGGACCTGGGTTTCGCTGGGGACGAGAGCATTGTCGGTGGACGAAGCCTCTTTCACCACACTTGGATTCCCAATGCCGCCAAAACCAATGCCATACTTCTTGATGTTTGGTCGCCGAACCACCGACGATAGGTTAGTTGAATCTTCGACATGACCGCCGCTGTGGCTCGCCTTTGCCTCTTTTGGGAGCTGAGTTCCGACCGCGGTTTCCTCGTGGTCGTCGTCGAAGTTGCGTTTGCGGAAGACTTTCCTTCGCTTACCGGGTCTGAAGAGCGTGTCCGCCGGTGCATCAGCGGATTCTGACATCCTGATCACCTAGGGTGCGGCTTAGAGGTATGAACCCCTTATACGGCGTGAATGTTGGGGTTCGATTCCGTAATATCGTGGCGTGCTGATTTCTCATCGAATTCGGACCGCAAATTGTGGAAACTGGGAGATGGAAGGGAAGTATTCTAACGGAGCCAAGAAATTTGCGCGTCCCGACCCGTCCCGAGATCTCCGGTCACTCCCCCTCGTTCCTTCACCTTCACCAGGAGCCGATTTTCGGAGTTTCTTCACCGAACACAGTTTGATGTGCAATTGAAGCAAGTATCCAGTCTTATGTGCACTTGTACCCCTATACTGGATGGTAAAGAGGCCCGTAAAGCTTCATCCTGCTACGAGCCGAGACCTCGTATATAACTAGCCTAAACAATAATATCGTGCGTCCGCCTCTAGGTATTAATAACAACCTACTTCGTATTAGCCTATTTAAATCAGCTGTAGTACTCGACTATAGTATAGCCTATTAACGCCTTTACGCTAAGGAGCAGTATAAAGCCCTTAACCGTACTATTAACTTTAGATCCGAAATATAGACTTAAGAGGTCGGCCGCGTAGTAGTAAAACGATTAGCACCCTTTAGTCCGTATATTAGCTAGCGAATTTTCGAAATGCTCTTATTATAGTATAGCTACCGCAGATATTCTAAGGAGTATAGCGCCTATATATTATAGATCCTAGCTAAGAAGGTAGTATTATAAGGACTAGGCAAGAGCAACGTCCTTATACTAAGCATTAGAAGACTATAACGAGGCTGCGGTAATCTACTCCGAAAGGCACTATTTGCTAGTAGTATTGTAAAAATAGGCTCCGAAATATACGGAAGAACCTACAAGTAGAGATATAGTAGAGAAGATAGTTCGATCGCAAGTTATTTTATAGCGCTTTACTACTAAGCTCGACGTACGGCTTAATAGGCAGATTTCGCTATTATACAAATTTGCTCTAATAATAATACTATAATATATAGTATACGGGCTAAACTAGCTAGCTAACTATTATTTTCGCAGACTTAGTAATAGGTAATATAAAACTAAGACCTTATATTAGCGACTACTAAAACAATAATCTCTTTTAGTCGATATTCTATAGGACAGTTAACTCGAACTTGACTTTCTCGCGCGAAGCGCCGATTAGTAAGAGCAGTAGTAGATGTGTCTAAAGTACTAGAAGAAAGGGCTATAGCTAGGATACTACTTCGTAGTCTTAACGATGTCGTACAGGCAAGGGTAGAACTATACCTACTCGCGGTTATCGGAAATCCCGAGGCCGGTTACTATATTCCTATAAAGACATTAGTATTTGTGCTTTAATAAACTTAAGCTAGTCGACAACTTACCGCTTAGCTAGAAAGCCGATACGTATATCTTTTACTCCGATAGAAACGCTATATTAGCTACGAGAACTAAGTTAAGCACGCTTCGTATATACGTCCTTCGGTAAACAAACGACGAGCTCTATCGCCCTTCTCTATAATCTCCTTATCGGCGTTAGAAAGTGCATCTAGCTTAGTCTTATAGTCGCTACTCTTCCGTATCTTCTCGAATTGTACTATCTTAGTAGTGTTTATTAGCGAGTAAGGATCGTCGGATTGTCCTACGAGTAGAGAGGCTAGATCCGTTAATAAAGAATCTATAACCGTAAGCTAAAGGCTGCCTTCTTAGGCATAGCCCTATATCGTAGCAACTAAGGCCTATATACGGCGAAGGATAATCTAGAGCTTCGTATTATCCGCATTAGATCGAAGTAATCTATTGCTTACGAAGCTCGACAATAATCTTCCTAATATAATATAAGTTGTTTTCGAGGAGATCGAGTCGGGTATATATATTATTAAAGACGGTGTCTTTAACGCCGGTATCCTAAACGGTAGAAAGGCGCTTATTAATATTATAGAAGTACTTTAGGTTAGCCTCGAAGCGCGGTAGAAGCTTATCTTAAATATCTATACCGTTCTTCTTAAGGATAGATAAAACGGTATTATCTAATTCGGAGAGATCGCCGTAGTCCTAGACGTAATCATTAATAATCGTATCTAGATCTATATCGGCGCTAACTTCGCCCCTAGCAACGACTTAAACTAGATTACTCTTGTCTCGGACATCCTCGGCAAAGTAGTATAGCTCTAATACTCCTCTAGGTCCGTAATCTAGGAACTAGGCGTTAATCGCATTTAACTTATCCTTATTAGAGGTGTTAGTAGAGTTAGCTAGCACTTTATCGAACTTATACAACTTTATAGAGGCAGTTAAGACATTACTAAAGAGAGTATCGAGGACGTTTTTACCTTTAGTATCTATACGATAACCGCCGATTAGGCTACGAATCTCCGTCTTAACGTTACTAAGCATCTTAAGCTCGGGAACAACTTTATTCTAGGTAAGCTCGGCAGCTTCGCTAGAGAGTAAGCGCTATAGTAATATATACTCCTAATCTATATAAGAGAAGAGGGATTCGGCGAGGCGACCTCGGAATAGGTAAAAGAAGTAGATCTTATTGCGAAGAGCCTTATTATTATCGTCGTTTCCGGGAAGCTTAACGAACGTCTTCTTAATAGAGCTCTAAGTAAGTCCTAGAATCGCTACCTTAACGATCTCGATAGTACGTAAGACGATGCTCTTACTAGAGGCAGTTATAATTAGACTAGTATTTACGCGGAAGAAAGCCTATAACTATCGTTAGTATTATAGCGGAGCAAGTACGTTAAGGTTACTTACCTTCTTATCGGGATAGATAGTCGTAACTACCGGTAGGTAGACATTATAGAGAAACTTCTTAGCAGGCTTAATAAATCTAGCCGGCGGTAGATTGTCTATAATAGACAAGAACTTTAGCTTACGGGCTACCGCTTAAGCTAAAGATTCTAGCTAACCCTGCTTTAGCTTATCTTTTGATTTACCTTTAGAGCTGTTATTAATGCCTTCGCGGTACTCTTTAGCTAATTTGCTAATACGCTTAAGAGCTTAACTAGCGGTTTCGGCCTTAGCGTTAGTATATAATTTGTCGGTCTGCTTTTTCTTACCTTCTTTCTTGCTTTCTTTCTTAGATAGACCTAAAGAGTCTTGCTTAATCTACTTGACTAGCTGTTTAGGCGTAAAGTCGTCGTCGTCGTCTTCTCGATTACACTTAAGAGCTATCTTAATTTAATAAGACAGCTTCGAGTAGCCGGTGTCGTAATATATAAGATTAAAATAGGTCGCAAAGGTTAGGATACAAAGTAGCGGCCGAGCGTAGAGCTCGTTTGCCCTAGGTTAAAGGCTCCTTTAAGAACGTTAGATAAGACGAGAAAGACCGTACGGGAGACTATCTAGGTAAACTCCCGAAGCAACTATCGGAGGTTTTAAGCAGATAAATAGTGTAGACCTAGATTAAAGAACAAACTAGTAGATAGAAAATTCTTGAATGTTCTATAGTCCTTGTTAAAATATAACAGCTCTGTTGTCTTTCTAAGTAAAGCGGGCCCCTATATATAAGCTATTATTATTTGCCGCTACTACTAGGCTAGTACGACAATAGTGTAGCAATCGCTAAAGAAACTTGTAACTAACGTAGAAAAGCGATCGTCTTATAACCTGTATCTGTTCCGCGCTCCCTAATAGATTATTCGTCGATATTCTCCTTATTGCTCCCTACCGCTAAATCTAACATTAATTGAACACCTTAGGACTTGTAATAAGCAGTAAGACGTCAATCTTAGGAATATAGAAGATCTATTCGCCGAGTTACGTAGTAAAGAGGCCTTTATATATACGCCGATCGATAAACTAGATAAAGATAATAAGCTCGCTCTTTACGATAAGATCCGTTTACTATACGAGGAGTATACTTAGATAGAAGACGAGGCCGACCTAGCCTTCGCACTTAATACGGTAAGCTTTTATAGCATTGGTTTTCGCTACGACTACTAATACTCTTAAGTAGAAGCAGATTCTAGCTAAAGCACTTCGCGAGTAACTATACTTCTAGAAGTTGTACCTTAATAACGCGGTCGGATAGTTCGTAGCAAAGCCGCTAAAAGTTATACTAAATAAGGACTAGGCCGTCGGAATATACTTGCCGGGCTTTTACGATATATACGAGTCGTTCGAAGAAGGCTTCGAAGACTTTATTGCTCTAAACTAGGAAGAGATCGTCTCTACTATAGAGTAAGGCATTAGAGTTATTCTATAGTAAGCGAAAGATGTTCTATAAAGCGGCGAGAAGAGCTCTACTATACTATCTCTACTCGTAGTCGTAGGAGTTAAGATAACGGCACTCCTCTAGGTTATTAAGTAGGAGCGTAGCGAGAATATAGGTCGAAACGAAGTCCGTACTAATATTCGGTCCTTAGGCCTAATGCTTTAGCAGATGCCTAAAGCTTAGAGACTACTCGAGGAGTATAGTACTAGCGCTACTTCGTAGAAGGAGAACACTACTAACAAATTCGGTAAGACGTACTTAGATATACTTTATACTAAGATCGAGAATGTTAAGGGTATAGATAGCAAGGTAGCGTCTCTACATATTTAGCCGATCTTAGCTCTTAAAGATTAAGATAAGACACTTATTAAGTAAGCTATATTATCGGCTATAGTGCTAATATCTTCGTCTACTACGAGGCGTAGTCTAAGCGACGAGGTAAGTATATTCTAGTACCGTCTTAACGCCTATAGTATACGAAGATACTAATAGAGCTAATAGCGAGCCGTATAGGTACCGAGTACGATTAAGAACTAGGCCGCGGAGAAGGTTCTAACAGATCCGTTAGGTCTTTTCGAGATCCTTAAGAAGTACTTCGCAAAGCGCAACTCGCAATTAATATATCCGTACTAGACTATACTAATAGAACCTCCCTTCGAACTATAGTACATCGATATTAGTATCCTAGATAACTTGAACGTTCTAGGCTTCTAAAGTATAGCGAGCATTTCTAGTATATAAGAGCTAGGCGCGGGAAAGCTTAAGAAAATCTTAAGAGCTACGTTAAGCTTCGTAAAGGGTCGATA